CTGTTGTGGATACCTTGGTGGTCAAGGGAATTGAAATGTAATGGCACTGGCTTCACGGCATCGTTCTGCACATCCAAAAGATGTTGGCTGAACCTGCCAGCCAGTCGTTAACCCGTTTCATCGATCTATTTAACGCCACATCTCTTGCAGTTGATGGCGTAAATGATGTTGCAACTCGTGCAATAGAATGCTTCACGTAGGTGGAAGGCGGCATTCAGGAATTCCAGGCTGGTACTCTGACCACATATGGACAGGTCCTACATACAGGTCTGTGGCAGGAGACAGTTCCGAAGTGGGACTCAGAGGCAGGACGTAACCGACTCTTTACTAAAATGTCCTTGAGGTTACGATAGTGTCTGTAGGCCACTAGAGGAGGTTCAGAGAAAATCATGCTGGTGGTGGGGTCAGTTCTAAGGTCGGAGAGAGGCCATTTAGGCCTGGAAGCGAGATCCTGAGCACGACTGATAAAGTGCAGCGGATGCAGTGCAATTTAACAAAAATGACCACTGACATAACTGACGTCTGTCTTCCTTCACTAACACTTACTGGATCCAGCGAAAAATGCCAACATGTAAAATTTCTAAACCAGGGTGTGGTACCAAAGGTACAGTTGTGTTGGATTCTGGATAAGGTTAAAACAAATCCTGTCAATTTCAGTCAGCTCCTAAAATTTGCGGCGGCTTTTTCTTGACTTTGTTCGGTTGCTGCGTATGGTCACGCTTGTTTGGTCGCATTCCTTCCAGCATGCTTTCTTTAATCAAATCTACCACCAGACACACCACCCCGAACCAGATAGAAACTGCCACCGAGCCAACACACACAAGGCATTTTTCAGGGTCCCATATTTTAACATCTTTTTGAGCTTTTCTTTTTTCGCATCGCTCTTTTTTTCCCCATTTTTTTTTTTTTTAAATCAGGCTTTCTTTCTGTTAGTTATGGTTTAAGGAGTAGAGGACATTAGTGTAGATAAGGTCAGTATGAAAGCTGAAATACTGTTGAGGAATTACAGTGAGATCGGAAGATGGAGGTAGATATTAAGTCCTGAGAGCTTCTGTGCTGCTGGGCTTGTATTCGTCATTCCACATGTGGTTTGTTTTATGCTTATCGCAGAGGTTTCATCGTTTGGATCACACCCGGCCTTGTGTCTGGTGCTGTGTTTGCCTTGCCATGGGGCTTTTTTAAATGGTTGTTTTGCTAATAAACTGCTTGACCAATTTGTGTAGGTCTTCATCGCTATTTACGCTCAGGTATTCATAGAGGGACATCTGTCTACTCTGGCTGTTGAAATATGCTTGTAGCTGTCGTCTGTGTACATTGCATTTTTTGCACTCAAGCATGTAATTGGTGATTAAGTTAGGTTTCTTGCATTTGTCGCATCTCGGGTTCTGGTATCTCTCGGGCCAGTAGCACAGTCGCCTCTTCCAAAGCTTGTTAATCGCTGGGATCTTTGCTCTTTGACTTACGACTAGGTCCCGGGCTTCCGCAGGCGAATGTGCCGACTTCGGCAGCCCTGGTAACATACTAGAAGGGTTGTTTACTTACACGTGGGAGTCATGTCCCCTGTGAGAGTCACATGATTTCTCCACCAAAAGTGTTTACCTCTGTTCTGGCTACACTCACTTTTCTTGGTCATACACACGACCCACAGCGGCTAGGCTCAGAAAATACGCGAGAACCTTCTAGTGTTAGCATTTTCAATATTCGTTATGATCCTTCCACTTTTATTATATTTAATAATAATTTAAATATTAAAATAGCTTTGGGCAATGTATGTACTAGTACTATGAATAAAAACGACTGAATCTTTTATTTTGAAGAAACGTTCTCATTCTGCTTCTAATTTAGTTGTTACTCTTTCCCTTTCATGTAATATTTCAAATTAAAGCTGTAAAGTAGTTTAAAATTCGTATAACGAATAAGCTGACAAAATGAAAATGAGATCAGACAGCACATTATTTAAGTTTCTTCATGATTTGTAGGCTGGGATATGTATGAATTAATGGTGTTTATTTTTTGCGAGAGAGACTGCTTCAGAACAACGGCTAAGATGTGTGTTGACACGCCCATCTGTAGTCATACGTGCTTCTGGAATAACTGACACACGCCGACAGCGCGCCACTTAGGCACACTCGTCGTTTACATCAGTTGTGCTTTCCCGCTATTCAGGAAATATGAGTAAACATACATAGAATCAATTAAAGTAGGAAATAATCCATTCTTTTTCAAATGCTTGTCTTGTGAAAGAAGCAGATTACTTTTGTTATGGTCACAGGTTTTATGTTTTAGTTGGGCCATCTACAGAATCAGATGCTGCTTCTAATCTGGCTTTTGTCTTGGATGTACACTACTGTTTGTCAATTTCATGATGTTATCTTCCCACTTGAATCACCGTCTACCTCTTAGCTGCTTGCCTTCAACTTTCCTCTCTAGTCCCCAGTATGTTACTCAGAAAGTATTAACATAGAAAGTACATTTTTCACAAACACTAAAATGATTTTAAAAAATGGGGGATGTGAAATCAGCAAGGCACCACAATAAACAATCCTAAGTTTGTGAATGACTGATCCCCACCAGTATCAGTTAGTCAGATGCCATCCCCACAATAAAGGTTGGCTGCAAAAGGTCTCCAGTACATTCTGGTTTTTGCAGTGAATGTACACTGCCTCAGCTGATCGGTGGTTTAGAGGTTAGCAAATGCAGTTAAAAATATCATGACCCTGGAGTTCCAGAACTTGTTCCCTGCAGTGGATGGTATTAATTAAAAAAAAAAGCATTTTGTTTTCTCCAGTTTTGTCAGTACTTAGGAACTCAAAACTTCAGTTCATCACAAAACAGATATATAAGCTAATTAGATTGAAATTGATAGGGCATATGGAGAGAATAGAAGATGACCGAGAGAGAGAAAGTGTCTGAACACACAATAATTTTATTTAAATAGACTGCAAGGCAAGCCGAGAAAATTGTTTTTCTTCTGATCCTGAGGTTTACAAGTTTCACTCATTTTAACCTGCTGAGAGTAGAAAACCACAGTAACTACACACCCCTATTTTGTTCAGAATGAAATTTTGGGGGAGGGGGAAGAATAGATTCATAATTGATCCCTTGCCCCATAATAAGCTTTTTGTGAAAGGTAATTAGTTAAAAAGTTTGCTGTGTTGGAATGAAGGAACAAATATGACATAAAGTAGGATCTTTGAGTGAAAGCACAAATCTGAACCGTCGCTGTCATTTTGTAGGACACTTGACAGATGGACATTTAAACCAAGGTGGTTTTTTTAGGAGGACTGACAATTCATGCGAGCTGTGAATTTGGACTAACAGTCAGCAAAAAGAAGACAAAGGTTATGGTGCAAGGTGTCAATGACAGAACAGACCTACAGTCTACATTGACGATGAAGAGCTTGAGACAGTAGACCATTTTACCTATCTGGGTTCCACAGTGAATAGTAAACTATCGCTGGACCAAGAAATCAAGATTAGGATAGGTAAGGCAGCAACAACAATGAGCAGATTGACAGAGTTCGGGAGAACAGAAAGCTCACAATAAAAACAAAAACCCTTGTCTATCAGGCTTGTGTTCTCAGCACTCTGCTTTATGGCAGTGAAACTTGGTCAACCTATTTGCACTAGGAGAGACAGCTTAATAGCTTTCACATGCGATGCCTAAGAAGAATACTTGGCATTAAGTGGCAGGACAAAATCACAAACACTGAGGTACTTGAAAAAGCAGGTACTACAACAGTTTTTTCCATGTTCAGTCTACGAAGGCTCAGGTGGCTGGGTCACTCAGGTGGCTGGGTCACACCTGGAGAATAGAGGATGGCAGAATCCCTAAGGACATCCTTTATGGTGAATTAAAAACAGGAAGAAGATGTCGAGGCTGACCTCTACTAAGGTATAAAGATGTGTGCAAGCAGAACATGAATGATACAGGTATTGAGGTGGACTCATGGGGGGGGAAAAATGCCATGGGCCGTGTTGTGTGGAAAGGGCATATGAGGAAATAAATGAGACTGAAGGAAGAAATGATTGCAGAAAAGATGAGAGCTGAGCGTCTCAAAAGAAACGGATTAAACACAAATGTTGTTAACAATGGTCTTGAAATCCCATGCTGTCATTGTGGAAGACTTTTCTTGACACGGACGGGTCTTGCTAGTCACACTCGCAATCGCCATGGGCTGTGAGTCTCATGCCTCCTCATAGCGCAATATAACACTATCGTCTGGAAAGACGGAAAGGTGCCAATGAATGACAGATAGACATTTAAACCAAGGTGGTCTTTTAGGAAGACTGACGGTTGACAGCTGTTTGAACCAAAGTTTGTCATTTAGTAGGATACTTTACCAGTGGACTTCACTCGATTTCCAAATTTGTTTATTCATTTCTGGGGTCCACCAACTCTGCCAGCTTGGTTTAGGTGACCTAGACTTGTATCCATGGCACATCGTATCCCCTTATATGCAACACAGTGGCTTTAACTTTCACTGATGGCTGTGACTAAAATTACTGGGCCAAGATTGTGTTCTATTTGGATAGCAACTGCACCACCCCATAATTATTATGTTGCAATGCCAGCAAAAGCCACACAGAATGTTCATAACTGTCCAAGGTAATCACATGACAGCTCCAACCAGTCTCCTTTAACATCAATCAGACTGCCATGCATGGATGTCTTTCATCATGACATATGAGGAGAGGTACCATAGTATTATGTCAGTTCTACATATATGTAGATATGCCCAGCACGCTAGCTCAGTTGGTTTCAGGAAGAAGAAGCAAGGGGTTGACCAGCAAGATGGTGGACATAGAATATCAGAAACATCTGCGTATGAAGATTCACATGGTAGGAGAGTTGGCAAGAAACCGTGGGACTGCTAGCATGATGTTGAAAGCAACATTCTGCTAAGGAACTGTCCAGTATAACAATGATAATGCATTTATGTTTATTAGAGCTGTTACTGACAATAAAATAATGCATAAAAATAATATTTCAGATCAGTATGAGTGAAGCTCTTGGTAGACGAGATGACATTATAGAGACCTCTAACATAACACGCTGGAATTTTACCAAACTTTTGGAACATCCCAAAGAATATGCACCAGAGGAACCAAGGTCTCCATTTCCATTGAGAATTGATCTGAATGCTAAAATAGCATTATGGTATGTAGGTATTCTTTTTCTTCCCGTTGACGGGCTGTAAACTCCATCAGAACGAAAAGTCCTTGTTGTTTATTCACTTCTGGACTGGTTTTGTTCTAAGACTTGAATAATAAAAAAAAAAAAATTGTGTGTAGACTATTGGTTCCTTGACTCTCAGGCAGATACATCCTGATATCATAGAAAAATTGATCCTATCTGCGTTTGCCAGTCAACTGGATGTGAACCTGTTAAACTGTTTCTATAATGACTACAGTGAAGTGTGGATATGTTTTTACCAGCATGAGCTCTGGTCCTGGTTCAGCACCTCTGCCTCCCCTATGTGTGCACACAGTATATTCTCTAAAACTAGTGAATTTCAATGTTTACACTATCATTTGCTTTGCCAAATTGCATAGGTTTCCTTGTCGCTGTACAAATCTGAGTCCTGTATGGTCTCTGTTTGTATCTTCATAACTTTTATCTTTTTCTTGGTAGTTGAGGCATTTTCTATTATATTGTGAACAGATGGTGAGGATGGAGATAAAGGTCCTAAGATAGCTTGGGAGAAGCTGGCTCAATCCCAGCTAAGATATGTTAGTGGGGATGGCAGCAAGGCAAGGAGTACATGACATTTGTTCTGAGGGTAGACTGACTTTTGGGTAAGGGTATATCATGACTCAATCCAGGGACAAGTGTCGGGAACAGCAAACACATGTTTCAAAGTTGCCTAGAGGATTTTAAATGAACAGTAGGTAACCTGTGGGTAATTAAAGCTTTATATTTTATTATTAATAGTGTGTTCTGGGTGGTCTCAAGACATGGCATCTGCCTTGAGTGCTGGAGGTCCGGGGTTCAAGCCCCAGTAAAGGCTGGATTTTTTTCACGTGGTATTCTAGTAATTTCCCCTGCTATCTGGGAAGTAAGACCGACACCCATGTGTATTGTTGCACACATAGACAAAAATCCCTTGGTAGTTGGGAATCGAAAAGAGTAGCCTTATTCACTGCCCGGGGAAAAAATTTGGAGTTAAAAATTTTCCCAAAGTATTTAAGGATCCTCGCCGGTGCTAGGGAGTTCGTGCACTGCGCTGAGATTCTTCCGACTCATGCTTGAGAGAAGTAGAATGAAGCACTTATGGGTTACCATCCTTGTGCCATGATGTTGAACTGTTGAATAATCATAAAAATGTTACAGTGTTCATCAGTATTCTAGTCATAGGTGTAAACCTGTTTGTAACATTCACAGGAAAGGCAACATAACCAAGCTGAAAGTGAATGCCATCACTCATACAACAAATGAACATATGAATGAAAGAAACCCAGACAGTGATGAGCTGTACAGACAGGGGGGAGAGGCTCTCTACCAAGAGGTGCAGGAGGATCTGAGAGGTGAGAATAATATATTCTTCTTTGTTCTGCCTTCTATCTCCCAATGAACCCCAGTCAACCCATGATTTTTCAGTGGCAGTGATTTCTCTCCAATTCTTCTGTTCTCTTGTCATGGGCTGCTATTTTGCGTGCATTTTCAATGCCAGGATACTGTTTGTTTTTGAGTGTGAGAGCGAGATGGTGACCAGTAGATTTAGCAGCCTCAGTCATGCTGTGCTCGCTATATTTTGATCATGGCTGTCCACTATGCAGGAAGACAGAATCTCATTAGAGGACAGCAAGCTGACTAGAAAGCAAACTTGATAAAAGCTGTCCCCAGAAATTAAATGAGTCAACCATTTCTTTTTTGGTTGTTGGGGAGGAATTGACTCAAGGAGGTTAAATTAATTGCCAGTCTGCTGTCAACTTGCCCTAGCAACCAAAGCATGTCTGTGCCGCCTTTGAGACCAAGATAGGAGACATTACAACCGACTCCTTGTGGGAACAATTAGTGGCTGCTGCATCAGAGGACTGGGCACTCATAGGAATGCCCTGTATGGAGTGATGTTGATTGCGATAACATAGGTTAACATATGTGAAGAATAATTGGTTTAGATTATATTTAATGGTAGCAGTACATTTTATTTTGCTTTTTTTTGTATCTTGAAAACTTGTCTTGAATTATGTGATTAATTGTTTAGGGGAATACAAATCCTAACCTTCACAGTTCATGACAACTTTAGTAGCCATATAGCCTAAATCCTCAGGCTTAGGACTCTCCTTGTCCATTACCACCCTTTAAATTGATAAATTCAGCCAGTAATTATAGTAAAGATAGTGTGTTTGTTGTTGTTATCACTGCATATTTTTTAAAACCTACACTAAACTGAGATACCTAGCAGAAATTTGAACAAGAAGCGCCATGGCAAAAGTGGCCTTTAGCAAGGTGCAAAAGATTTTTATCAACAAGATGTCAGTTCTTCTTCTGCATTCCAAGCCCTTGAGGTACATTGCTGTAGATATCACCCCCCCCCCACACCTTTCCACTCATCTCTCTGGTTGGCCTTCTCTTTCCAGTTGGTGACATCAGGTGTTGTCAGGTTTCTCTGGATATCTATCCATCATCTTCTTGGTCTGCCTCGTGGTCTGCGACCATTCATCTCCCTTGTGTAAACAGTTTTTACCCCTGCATCATCTAACATTCTCTCAATATGCCCCAGCTCTCATGATGCCATTGATCAGTTGTGATGTAAACATGAATTTTGTTGTTGCTTCTCACTCTCCATTCCCTTCTGTTTACATCTTTGATAGGTCCAAAGATTCATCATAAGACTCTGTTTTTGAAAACCTGTAATATGTCAGTTGCAGTGAGGAAAATGGTGTTGAAGTGCTATGTAGAACCTGTGTTGTTATGTGCATGTGAAACATGGACAAAAAGCAAACAAGCTGAAAGTCAATTACTCGCGGCAGAGATATGATTTCTGAGAAGAATGCAAAGAATTTGATGGAAGGATAGAAAAGCAAATGAAGCAGTCCTCGACGAGACAGAAAAAAGTTGTAAACTTATTAGAACAATTAGACGTAGATAGTCAGTGTTTTTTTGACATGTTATGCAAAGGAACAGCCTTGAGAACTTGGTAAGAACTGGCAAGATTGATGGAAAGAGAGCAAGAGAATGGCAAAGAGATAAATACCTGGATGACCTAGCCACATGGATGCGTCGAGACGAAAACATTGAACTGATCTGTGGTTCTGGTAATCATGTGAGATGGGAAAATATTACAGCCACGCTTACTGGCACAACACATGATGATGATGAAAATACTGCGAGTCAAGGAGCTATGGGTGCTGAATTGAAAGACTGGTTAAAAAAAAACCTGCTACCATAAAGATGTGGTTGTTTTCTTCTTAATGTTGAGAATCCAGTGGTTAGGGATTCAAAGCCAGATATTCAAGTGTTGAAATCCCTATGTGAGTGTCTGGGCTCTGTTTTTTTTTTTTTTGGGGGGGGGGGGGGAACAAGAATAGACCTATGCCTTCCTAACAAGCATGACATAAAAGGCGACTAACTAGGGATCTGTCCTCTGAAGTCAAGAGTACATCTGCATGAGTAGCAAGGAATGAACAGTCTGCTGACCTGTAAAATGAATTTGCACGCAAAACTGAAGTTCTGGAATGTGACTGAAGTCCAGAAGTGGATGAACAACCAGAATATTTTACCATAGTTTACTGCCAGTGAACACAAAGAAGAAGAAGTGTTGAAGGGAAATTCACAGTGATGTGATTACCCGCATCAGAACAAGAATATTATCATTTTTGTCACATTATGAGTAAAAGATAGCTGGGAAACTGTGGGACTAGCAAGAGTTGTGTGTTAGAGACAGAGTTTGGCAGAGAGAGAAATGCACATGGATGGGCAGGGACACAGATACTCAGCAGTCTTTCTTAACAAGAACACAGAATGTAAGATCTTTTTTAAATAACTTGATTGCATTTCCATGTCAGACGGTATGTCAAGATTTTAGAAGGGCCTCTATGGCAAAGTATTCAGCATTGTGGGTTTGTTTTTCAGTTTATGAATAAAGTTTTTATAGAGATTTCTATGGATCTTTGCTGGGGCTGAGGAGTTCATGCTTTGTGAGATGCTCTTGGCAGGAAGCTAGGCGCTTTGTGGAGAAATTCAAAGCCATATACGATAAACTCCAGAACAATGGAGTCGATCCTCTTAATTTTAATGTCTTTTAATCTAGTAGTTAATGAGTTGAGGAGCCACTGCCTAGGTGGGTAGAGCTCTAAGTTCTTGTGCGGTAGACCAATGTTCGATCCTCAGTAAGGAATGGAGATTATTGCCTATCAGGGGCAAAAACAAAAATTCTAACCTGCACAGTTCTTGACAACAGCACTAGCCATACAACCTTAAATACTCAGGCTCCCCTTCCCCCTTGATGCACTGTCCTAGAAGTGGTAAGTGAATGTGGTTAACAGTGTTATGATCCTTGAGTATTAGGGTTCATGTTTCCCCTGGTACACGGTTCAAACAAAAACTGTTTTCATAGTTTTTGGATAGTGGTGCAAGAGTCTCCTCATGGAAGAGATCATGGTAACACCTTGATATATTCCTCTAAAGACAACAGTGCCACACTGGACCTAACCTTTATTTTGTACATAGGGTAAACACTTTTTTTTCTTTCATAAATTAGTTAAATATTGTACAGATGTGTTGTCATATGTTGGTTTCAGTTTGCAGAACTGGGGAGGCCAAGATGAGCAAAGGTCACAGCCTGCCGGCCAGATATGTTATTCATTCTGTGGGGCCTCGGTACAACATAAAATATGTCACAGCTGCGGACAGTGCTCTGTTTTCCTGCTACAGAACTGTGCTACAGATATGCAAGTATGTTTTTGTGTTCTGTAGAACTTCTCTTGTCCTGGATCAGGGCTATTCTAAGTTTACTCTGGGGCCAAAATATTGAAAATGGCCATCGTCAGGGGCCAGAGGCTCAAACCCCAGCGGAGAAAATCAGTAATACAAAACAACTGGTGATAATCCGCGGTCTCCTTGCTAGGCTTCTGCGAGCCAGTTTTGGCCCTTGGGCCACCAGTTGAATAACCATGTCTTAGATAGTTGTAAAATTAATTTTTGTTTTGTTGACCAGATTATAAGTTTCTTTCTTTTCAGATTGTTGTTAAATGACTCCATGTTCACCTAGTTATAAATTAAACTCTTTCTGTTCTAAACATCTGTTCATTTAATTTTTTATTGACTAGGCTATACATTTAACTCAGTCCAGCCACTTGTTTAACTATTCATCATTCAGCTAGTTATAAATTAAACTCTTCCGATTCTAAACATTTGTTCATTTAATTTTTATTGACCAGGCTATAAATTTAACTCAGTCCCAGCCACTTGTTTAACTGTTCATCATTCGCCTGGTTATTTAAATTTAGCCTTTTCTGTCTCAATCATTGTTAATATAACTTATATTTACCAGGTTATAAATTTAACTTCTTTTCCAGAAAAGATTTGCTTCTTCAGTTTATTTTGTTGCTAATATTATTATTATTATTTATTTTGTATGCTGTAAGAGCACAGATAGATTGTTCTGTAACATAAAAATTATTATTTTTAGGGAATCACATATCCGCACATTAGGCCTTGGTGCTATTCATACTTTAAGAAGAAACTATCCACCGGATAAAGGAGCCCATATTGCAATACGTAAGTTTTTCCTGATTTCACTGTATAGATTGATATTATCGTACAAGAATGATAACTGTTTCTTATTAAAACACGCCTTCCTTGTTCCATCTGAAAAGATGTTCACTGCAGTGGCTTGTTCACATTGAAGCTGTGATAGGTGCCTCTTTTGCTTAGCAGATCCAGCTGAAGTATGGGTTTGTTCAGAGACATGAGGCATACATTCACTAGTCACTCAACTAGGCTGCAATGAATCAGCCTATTGTCAATACTGGTTACAGGTGAAGTATGGGTTTGTTCAGAGACACAAGGCATACATTCACTAGTCTCTCAACTAGGCTGCAATAAATCAGCCTATTGTCATTACTGGTTACAGGTGAAGTATGGGTTTGTTCAGAGACACAAGGCATATATTCACTAGTCTCTCAACTAGGCTGCACTGAATCAGCCTATTGTCATTACTGGTTACAGCTGAAGTATGGGTTTGTTCAGAGACACAAGGCATACATTCACTAGTCTCTCAACTAGGCTGCAATGAATCAGCCTATTGTCATTACTGGTTACAAGTGAAGTATTGGTTTGTTCAGAGACACAAGGCATACATTCACTAGTCTCTCAACTAGGCTGCAATGAATCAGCCTATTGTCATTACTGGTTACAGTTGAAGTATGGGTTTGTTCAGAGACACAAGGCATACATTCACTAGTCTCTCAACTAGGCTGCACTGAATCAGCCTATTGTCATTACTGGTTACAAGTGAAGTATTGGTTTGTTCAGAGACACAAGGCATACATTCACTAGTCTCTCAACTAGGCTGCAATGAATCAGCCTATTGTCATTACTGGTTACAGTTGAAGTATGGGTTTGTTCAGAGACACAAGGCATACATTCACTAGTCTCTCAACTAGGCTGCACTGAATCAGCCTATTGTCACGACTACTGGTTACAGGTGAAGTATGGGTTTGTTCAGAGACACAAGGCATACATTCACTAGTCTCTCAACTAGGCTCCACTGAATCAGCCTATTGTCACAACTACTGGTTACAGGTGAAGTATAGGTTTGTTCAGAGACACAAGGCATACATTCACTAGGCTCCACTGAATCAGCCCATTGTCACAACTACTGGTTACAGGTGAAGTATAGGTTTGTTCAGAGACACGAGGCATACATTCACTAGTCTCTTAACTAGGCTGCACTGAATCAGCCTATTGTCACTACTACTGGTTACAGGCAAAGTAGGCTGTTTGGTGGCTCTCAGATTGAAGTTTTGTGTTTACTGTAGTTGAAAGAAAAAAAAAAGTTATTTGTGTTTTCTTAAAATCATTTTAATGTGATACATAATTATAAAGGAAACATGTAAAAGAAAATGATGACTAGTTTAAAAATATAGCCCAGTTTTAAAAAAGCAGAATCCCTATGCAGGTACTGTGGCCCATTGTGGTAAAAACAAGAATAGACCCACTGCCTTCCATGTCATAAAAGTTGACTAATTGGAGGCTTCCTTCAAAGTTGGAATGCAGCTGCCTCAGATCAAAGGAAACCAACAGTCTGTATAGAAATGAGCCAGATCTATAAAATGAATTTGCATGCAGCACGGAGGTTATGGAACAAGACTAAAGTCTAGAGTTGAACGAACAACCAGAACTTTCTGCTAGAGTTTGCTGTTGGTGAATTTAAAGAAGAAGAACAAAGAGCTTATAAAATTTATGTCATGATTTCTGGTTTTCTGTAATCAGGTCCGAAATACTCTGATCTTTAGGAGTTTATGAGTAGGCCATCATCTTGTTGTAGCAATGTATTCTTCTCCTTCTGCTTCTTCATTTTCTCATTCTGTGTTAATTCTTAAAGAGGCGGTTGGCATGTTATGTTGTGCTTATGGCTAGACTATGATATCTGTGCCTTTCAGCCCAGCACGTCTAATTTCAACAGTCTTATTTAGTTGCCTTGTACAACATGCTTGTTAAGGAGCAGTGGTTCTGTCTGTACAGAACCAATACTGAACGTTATAGGTAGACAACAAATCAAATGGTTTGGCCATGTAACAAGATTGGCATCAGACAGGGCACCACAGAGAGCAATGTAAAACAAATATAGTAGTAACAGAGCCAGAGATCGATCACGCAGGATATGGACAGCAGAAATATCTGATATACTGAAAAGTACTTAAAACGAAGCGAACAGAAGGGCCCGTTCCAGAGATCTTGTAGTCTTAGTTTCAGCTTCATAGCAACGGGTCGCCCCATCTTTGCTCCGCTCCTGTGCCAACGAAAAACACCCGGAATGTTTATCACAGTCCCTTGTGGAAAGATTGACAGACTGCTGTCTCAGCATATCTAGCATACACTCGCATTAAAGCATACGGTAGCCATCCGAAGTGCTAACACAAACAGTCCAACATTAGAAATGCAGTTCATCATTGATGATAGCAGAACTTGTCGCCAACAGTTCAGCAGTTGTCCACGCGATCAATTTTAACGAGATACGGGCACCGCCAACATTGCACGACAGGCATCACGCCATTTTCTGAATCTACAATTCGCACCACCACGTTGGTCACAGTCGAAAATACATTCCAAATGCAATCCGCAGCTCACAGGGTCACGCCATGCATTCAACTCAGAAGCTTGGCGACGAAACTATATCCAGTCTACAAATGGAGCAAAAATACTTCGGCCACCGTCCGGCAGAAGCAAAAAATTTGCCTCTGCTTTGAACAGCGCCGCTGTCTAGCGTCCATTTTAACCGGAAGATCTCTTCCTGCCCTGACATCTTGAGACATTCCAGGAGTGAAGAAAAGAAGAGGTTCTGTCCCCCTCCCCTCTGGAAAAAATAAATAAGGCTCTTGATACTCGCATGAGGATTGTAGCAGGGGATGAGATGTTGATATAGTTTTTATTGTACTTTTTTGTGTGTAACAAAAAATTTTTTTTAAAGGTACCGTGAGACGGTTTTTAGAGAAACACCTGGATGCATTTGATCTCATTGTTTTTGTTTGCAATGAAGAAAATGCGGTAAGTTTTTTACTTTTTGGTAGAAATAAACTTCATATGTTCATTTTTATTTTTAAGTAAATAAGTCACATATTTCCACAAGTTTAGCACACAAATTTTCAAACAAAATCTCCTAAATAGGAACACATTAGCGACGCGCCATGTGTGCCCTCACCATCTTGACTGGAAGTCAGGAAGTTAACCTTTAAAGCTGCTGGTGTGACCAGAAGAGATAAAATCGGGAATGAAGAAATTAGAAGAAGACTAGGACATAAACCAGTCATACAATTCATTAAAGAACAACAAATGAGATAGTTTGGTGAGAATGCCCTGCTACCATGCTGCTTGAGAGAGCCACGCTGAAAAAGTATAATGAACACAGACCAAGGGGAAGATGGAGCGATATCATAAGGAGAAACATAACAGAAATGAACACCAACTTGTACAATGCACTGGAAAAAGGGCACAAACGACCACACCCTCTCCCCACAACACCTCACTGAGGTAAATGGCCGAAAAAAAGAAGACAAAAATAAGTAACATTTTTCTCAAGTGTATTGAGGCAGTTTGTGGTATTTAGGGTTCAGTTACCTGCAGCTAATTTTGAACCAGGCATGTTGAAATTTTGAAACTGTGGTCATAACTTCTAAGCTACAAATGATGACTTATTGAATTTACTAAAGAAAATGTTTTGTATGTTACTATAAATCATGTTAGTTATGATTGCATACCTGTATAGCTGTAATCGCTTATGCAATCATAACTTTATTATATAGGGGGAGAGGGGTGTTTCTTCATGGTGAAGTGGTCAAGCTGTTTGGCTCTCTCTCTGAAGGTCATGTGCTCATTTTACAGTTGTGTCATGGATCAAAGAGAATAGACCCACTGACTCCCTAAATAACATGTTTAACAACAAGGTGCCTAATTAAAGATGTTTCTTTCAAAATCAGGGTGCATCTGCCTGAGAAACTAACAGTTGTGCTTGCAAAATTCTAGTTCTGATATAAGACCAAAGTCCAGAAGTGGATGAACAACCAGAGCTTTTCACTGAAGTTTACAGTCATTGAACACTGAGGAGGAGACAAGATGTGGTTTTCTTCCCCACCACATTTCTTTCCCAGAATATTCTGAAAAATTATCTTCTTCTTCTTCTTCTTCTGCATTTGTCCTTAAAAGATTGGTTTGGCACAGGATATTGTTGTTTACAGCTGTGATATCTTTGGCCCGACATATCCAATTTCAACAAACCTCAGTTAGTTGCGTTTTACAACATGCTTGTTCGGATGAATCTACCCGAGCAGCAAGGAACAACCAGTGGCACACAAATAATCGAGTAAAATGGAGGTACACACAAAACTCAGGACCTGCCACAAAGCCAAATGGAAAAACAACCAAGATTCTCCGCCAGAGTTTACATTCGCTGAACAAAGATGAAGAACCACTATACCTATACCACTGTTGCACTTTTTAATTATGTGCCTCTTCTTGTGTGTATGTTAATAACTTTCTTCTAAATTCTGATTATGTTCTCTTCCTCAGCAATTTTATCGAACCATTTTACCTTTGTATTTCCCCCGCGACTCAAGTGAAGAAGAATATGCTATCGACAATTTACCTAGTGATATTGGCAATGAAGAAGGGGAGCCATTTATCAAAGAGAGACAAATCAGAATTCTGGATAAACCAACCTTTGCTGCCTTGAGTAAGTTTGTTTATTTTTTTCAGTGTTTTTTTTTTTTTAAATAATTTTTTTGGTGACTCAGCACTGTACTCAAAACCATATTGAGCTTAAAAGAACCCCCCCCCCCCCCCCCAACAAACAAAAAAACTAGTCATTTTCATCGTTAGTACCTTTCATGGATACAATTGTAAGAGGTAGGGGTGTACTGTTTCCACAGGGACCAAATTCACACCTCTTATAGCAAACAGATATGTTGGTAGTTCTGTAGAATCCCTGACTGAACTTGAGATTTGAAAACACACATTTTGATTATCATCATCATCATCATCATCATCATCAAGTGCCTTACCAGCAGGCCTAGGCGTTCATGAGTCTGCACAGATCTCGGTCTTTTGTGTTCCGGATCAGTTCCATGCCACTGTCTTAAGCCATCCACCATCATCTCTCTTGGTCTGCCTCTGCCTCTTCTACCAGTTGATCAATGTACATGAAACATATCCATTCTCATTTGGTATAATGTTTGGGACAGAAAAAAAATTGACTTTCATTATTTCTCTTCTTCTTCTTCTCACTTTGAGTGAGTAAACCCTCTCACCCAATATAAATTGTGAAAAAAAAAAAAAAAAAAAAAAAAAAAAGCGTTTATTTTGTTAAAATAAATGCATCCTCGTAATTCTCTGAAACTGTACCCTAAGAAACTAGAAGATAGGAGATAAGAAGAAGAAGCAGAAGAAATTTTGAGTCTTGGGCAGTTTTCATAAACATCCAACAGGTCGAACTCCTAGACCACTGAGCTGACAGTCAAGTATCAACTCCACAGCTAAATCACAGCCGTCAGATCACCAAAATAATTCATATTAATTAATTATTATTTTCATTTAAAAACAAATTTTAAAGAAAGAGTATTAGTTACTAAAATACAAAATGGAGCACCTGACAAGTAATTGACACAGACAGTGCTTTCTGTGTGGTTTATCACACACCAAACAGGCAACTGCTGAGAATGGCTGATGCTTTAACAATTAAAATAAACAACACCTCCTTTGTAAGCTGACGGAATTTATAGTAAATTTGAAGTTATCCTGGTAAGTCACGTGACTACAGTGAACTTCTGGCGACTAAATACACCACAACGCATTAAAAGAAACTATTTGCATTTCAGTTGGATTTATTCAGTTTTGAGCTTTTTTTTATGTTTATGTAACTGTGACGAGTTACAGCTAAATATGCCTGGCATTAAATTGTGCATGTATTGTTTGTGCCCTAATTATTTAAAGAATTAACTGCTTTTTTTCCCATTGAGCATGACAACATGTTTTTGCACCCCTAAAAATATGTCAGAATTATTTTTTAGATCTTTAAAGTGTACACACTATGCACTTACGAGGCTATTGTGTAGGCTTGATCGCCACAGCATGATGACTAAATGATATAATAAATCGATAAATGTCAGGAAACCTGCTTTCTCTGGGGAGACATGGCTAAGAGCCAACTTCTCCTTGTTCTTCTGCCTTTCTAGCCCCAATGGAGCATAGGCCCTCAACCAACTCACGCCAAGTCGTGCTATCCTTTGCTATCGCAGGCAGCTCTCCCCATTTTTCTAACTTCAATATCCAGCTCTCTTCTCCATTTTTTTTTTGTTGGCCTTCCTTTATTCCTATGTCCCTTGTGGGTTACGATGTAAAAACATTCTAGTTATATTGTTCTCTGGTTTTCTCAATGTGTGTCCTATGCAACGCCAGCATCTTTTCTTCAACTCTTGGTCCACTGGAGCTTGCTTAGTTCTCTCCCAAAGCTCTACATTAGTGATTATATCATACCATTTAATTCCCTCTACTCTGTGCAGGCACCAGTTAATGGATTTCTGTAGTTTATTAGTAATTGCCTCAAAGAGCCAACTAGTTGGATGGTATTCTGAAAAATGCAAACTGATTTTCCAATAAATGTTTACACCAGGAGCCATAAATTCTGTGTTAAATGAACAATTATGGCTTATTATGTTAATACAGCACCGGCGGGTCAAGGCAGGCTGGTTACGCAGACAGTGGCTTGAGTTGTTGCAAAATTCTTCTGTGTGTGCAGTTACTTTCATTTTCGTCCCAGGGCATGCAAGCGTTATTGTTAATGAGAGAGCTGATAGACTGGCAGGTGCTGCACTAATCGAAGATGGCAGGCCCATTGATCACGCAGACATTGTCATTGCCCTTAAAGAGATAGGATGTTCTGAGGATTTTGGAAGCAATGTGTCCACATCACTGCTAAGAATACGCGACTTGGGAGTAAAGATCAGCACAGCCAAGCATGAGAAGCATACCGGACGCACACAAAGTCTTGTTAACCAACATAGGACTGGTACTATTAACCACACAATGCTGATGAATATGTTGAGAGGGGAATCTGAGCGCCTATGGATGTGTTCAGAGTGCTGTGAAGATAATCTAACTCATAACAGCACTGACCTGTGCAGAAAATAATATATCTTTGTTTATCTTGCATCTTTTTAATTTGTTGGTAGTCATTTGCTTCTCTGATGTCTTAACTGATTTCCCAATAAACTTTTCAACAGAGGCCATAAATTCTGACTTTGAGCAGACTGTTGACCTCAACAAAGAGTTCTTTCAGTCAGTGGCTACTGATGTTGGTCATCATCCATTTGCCAACATGGAGGAAAACCCTGACGTAATTAAAACCTCCAAGATGCTACAGGCAACCTCGTTGGAGCAGAGAAAAAAGGAAACAAGGAGAAGGTAATTCTACAGTTTTTTCTTTATTCTTTTTCTGTAATAAGTAAGTAACTCACCTTATTAGAGCAGTGTTTCTGCATTATAAATTGAACAAGATGACACAAACAACAGATTGCATAATTTACTACCGCATATTATATATACATCTTGAAAGATCTGACCATCAAGGAAGTTTGGCTAATAAACATTATCCTGTCTCGGAAACTGAAATATTTTGGTCATATCAAGTGCCACGACGGATTGGAAAAAATTATAGCTGAAGGCATGGTACCATGAAGGAGGGGCAGGGGCCGACTGACACGAAGATGGGCACCGGATATAAGTAACTCCTTGAGTATGAAAGTACATGAGGCGGGAGACCTGGCAAGAGGCCGAGTTTCTTTCAGGCAGACTGTGATGAGAGCGACGTTCTGCAAAGGACCTGCTACATGATGATATTATATATATTTATATATATATATATTGTTTGTTGTTATAAATCTAATATTAAATCTATTTGCCATTTAGTAAAAAGTACCCTATTCCATGCCTTCATGCATATAGGGCTAGACCTATATTTCTATAGACCAATCATTACTTTGAGGGTTTTGTGGTTACCATTATGAAGGAGCTGAGGCCTTTCCTGCCATGTTTGCATCTGCACCTCTAAGGCTGCCGGTTTATGTTTTTTTTTTTTGGTGTGCCTATGCTTTACTTTACATCTTCCCCAGAAACCACATTTCTGCTGCTATTAGATATTTTTCAGCATGTCCACTAATTGTTCAGATTTCGCATGCATACTTCAGTATAGATTCTACATAGGTGTTTAACACTCTTTTCTTATTGCAGTCAATATCTCTTGGCTGGTAAATGTTGCATCTTGCATGCTACTTTTTATTCATTCATTCATTCATTATCCTGTTGTACCATTATGTGTCGCATAGGGATCGCAGTCTATTCCTCTATTCCCTTCTATCGTGTGCAGTCAGCTCAGTATAATTGATGGAATCCAGTCTAGCAGCTTTTCCCTCTCTCATCAACATTTGTTTTAGGCTTTTTTTTTGGGGGGGGGGGGGGGCATCCTGGCCTCCCTAATCCCTTTATTCCCTATTTCCATGCCTGTTTGGTGATTCTCAGCTGGTTCCTTCTCAGGATGCATCCAATGTAGCACCGTTTTTTCTATCTTTTAACTGTTTATACTAGCGGTTGTCCAGACATTTCTCTTATTTCTTCGGTCCTTTTGAATTCATCCTATTTTATTTTCATAATTTTTCCTCAGACATTTATGTTTAAATACATATAACTTTTGTTCCAACTGTTTAGTGATTCTCCAACTTTCACTTACATCTGTTAAAAGTGAAACAACATTAGAATTGAAATTACGTAACTTGGTTTTAAATCTATACAGTTTAGAGTTCCATATTTTATTTCAGCTATTAAATGCTGCTGATGCCTTGCAAATGTATTTCATAATTTTTTTTTACTTTGTACTTCTTTCACTATAAAATTACTATCTACACAAGTAAATTGATCTGTTACTTTAAATTACCTTTGTCTCTAATATTACATCTGCTTGATGTGTTATTGTCTTGCAAAATAGATTACATTATTATTTGGAAGGAGAGATTGGGGGAGGGGAGATAACATTTTGTTTTAAGTAGGTACATAATCTTTATTGGGAGGATGACAGTTGTAAACGATTACAAATATCAGAGTTAAAGAGTCAGCGTTTTTCAGACATGATATGTAAAGGAATGGACTCGAAAACCTGGCAATTGTCAAGATTGATGGAAAGAGAGCAATGGGCCAACAGAGGGAAAAGTACCTGGGGGGGGGGGGGGGCGCTTAGCCATTTGGAAGGTGGGAGACAAAAACTCTGACCTGATTCATGATTCTGGTGGTTTTATGGTGCGGCAAAACAGGATAGCCTATGCTTATCATCATGGCACATAATGATGATGACATAGGCATATGAAGCCCTATGTTTTTGTATTCCAGCAGTCATGTTTTAACAAAACATTGGTATTAACCCTTTCAGTCCCAAATAGTGTTGAATTCAGACAGGGTTTCTACTAAAGTTTTTGGGATTCTAGAGCACTCATTTTTTTTAGTCTTACAAAGCTGAAATATATAGCTTTTGTGAGAGAAGATGTTAAACTTACAAATGGAAAATGGGTTAACATAAGACAAGAATGAGATAGGGGAAGCAGTGAAATGTGTACCATATGTAGTGTCATCAATTAATTCATGGTGAGTTTCTTGTTTCTGAAAGTTAAACTGTATTTAGAAAATGACAATATACAAAAAAATTACAGGTATGAAAATTTGATGAAGCGAGCCAAAGTTGAAGACCTGACAGATATCGCATCACTGCAGTGTTTGTACCGTGGTGGAGTTGACAGAATGGGTCGTCCTATCGTTGTGTTTGTGGGCAAAAACTACCCGGCTCATACTGCAGATCCAGAAAAGGTTGTGAATATTGTGTGTAATTGTGAATGTACAATTTAGATATTTGTTTGATACAAACATGGAGTTGTATGTGATGCCAATATGATGGATAGGTGGGTCGACCATTTAAGTTATCGCATGTTATATACTTCTGGCCACAGTCTAAATGTAGGCTGAAAGTACATATACTGTGTCACCTCAAAAATCGATAACATTTTCATATTTTTAATAACTGTCAAAAAATCATCTGATTATTTTAAAATTTGGTACAAATGATGATAAAATGTTAATGAAAATTTTGCCTATTTCAATGGATGCTTAGAATATCCACCGCCAGCTGCAACACACGCTTTTAGTTAGACCCGCAACTTTTTTTTGGGTTGTTGTTGCTTTTATGATGCATTTGTCTAGCGCACAGTCCATTTATGGCTGCTGCCTTTCCTACGCTTAACAGTGCGGTTTTCGTCGATCTTTTGCAGAAGGTATGAGAATCCACCTGAACTTCATTTTTTCGTTCGAAATTCGTTAAGAATTCGCTTTGTACCTGTTTTTTTGTTGTTGAAGAAATTTAATCGCAGTTTTATTTTCATAAGTGAACAGCATTTTGAAGCATACAAAGTAGAAGTCATACAGCTGTGATACAACGCCACCTACAGGCTGAAAAATGCACTGACGAGAAATTTGTGGTGGGATATTCACCCTAAAAAAATAAGTAGGCATTGACATCAAGATTTGTAGAACATTTTATAATAATCGGATTATTTTTGACTGAATTATTAAAGATATTGAAAGGTTATTGATTTATTTGGATACTGTGTACTTCTACCATCCAGCTGCTGAGCTGAGTGTGCATCATCTTTTATTGGAGCATAGATTCCCAGCCAACTGATGCTAAGCTGTCCTGTATTTTGCTGGCTCCTGCAGCTCACTTAATTAATAAGACATGTGCATTTATCACCTCTGACAGCAAAAGTCCCACTCCTGGCCTTCTCGTGACTAAACTGTTTAAACCAACAGAAGAAGGGGTGACAGTGAGTATCTGGCACCGTAAAACCAGATGGCTCCTCGAAAATGATCAAGTCTACCCTAGCAAAACATGATGCTGAAGTCGGAGGCAACCAGCCAGGAGGCGCACCACAGCAATCAGGATGACACACACACACGCCATGGAAATATGTTTAAATCAGCAAAACGTTATGGTGCTCACCCTGTGATGGACTCTCAGGCAGGAGCACTGCCGGGCCCTCAGTCTCGAAGAGGCCTAACCTAAATTACTGGAGTTCCATCTCAGATGTTCTGTGGAGCTAGGGTGCATGAGAATAGAACATCTGGCTGAACTGAGAAGGGAGCCAAAATAATGCACTGGAATGCAGAAGGGGTTAAAAAATAAAAAGCTAGAGTTAGAAAATACTTTAAACGAGGAACAGATACATATATGATGTCTACAAGAAATCCACCTCACTGAAGATACAGTCTTCAAAATCAAAGACTATCAATGCTTTCGATGAGACCAGAAAAAAAAATGGCAGAATGCTCACTATTGAGGAATAATATCACTGCCCGCCAGACTGAAATATATATGGATGGAGCAGTTTATCAGGTATTGACACTACAAACTGGCAATGCAGATATCCATCTATCATTTATTACTGCCCAAGTGATCATCCCCAGGCATTAGACACAATCCCAGAGAAGAAAAGATGATTCATTGTGGAGACTTTAACAGCCAGTCACAAAGTTGGGGCTACGTCCACATAGGCCAGAGAGGAGAGAAACTGTAGGAGTGGCAGGATGAGAAAAGACTTGTTCTGCTTAAGAGACCAACTGATCCACCCACCTTCTACTCAAGATTGTGGCACACCGCTATTACCCCAGACCTAGCATTTCATTCTGCAGACCTGGAATGGAACATTACATGAGTTGTTGGAAAACAGCTAGGAGACAGCAACCATCAACTGGTGTTCATGATTGTAGCAAATAAGACAGTCAGAGAAACTAGTACTCTATCAAGGTGGAACTACAAGAACTTTTATTGGACAATGTACAAGTACCGTATCAGTATACAGAAGCATACTACATGCTCCAGAAGAATCAATACCAAGAGGTTCCCATAAGCATTATGAGCCATACTGGAGTAGTGAACTAGAAGACATCCAGAGAAAAAAAGCAGAGACCAGAACATCACTAAAACTACTGGCATGCAACAGCAAAATTTGTAAGGGCAAAGCTGCAGGCCAGAAGACAAAGCTGGCAGGAGAAAACCAGATCCCTGAACTTTGAAAAAGACACAAGAAAGTTATGGAAGCTCTTAAAACAAATTAATGATGAGGGTAAAGGGTGAAACCCAAAGATCACGCTGCAGAAACAGGAAACATGGTCACAGAAGCAGACACTTTTGCTTTAAATAGCAGCATTGAAATCAGTTTCAGAGAAAAAACAAGATTCAAGAAAAGAGACAACACGCAAGTTGGAGTTGGCCATTTCGAAGCTGAAAATGCGTAAGTCACTAGGACCAGAAAGTATATCCAACAAGAGATCAAAAACCTAGGAACAGTAGACAAAACAAAGTGTCTTCAGATATTTAATGCTTGCTGGGCAACAGGAAATGTTCCACAGATCTGGAGAGAGGCAGTTATGATACCCCTCATAAAACCTGGGAAAGACAATTCCAATGCCTGCAGCTACAGACCTATCAGCCTTACGAGCTGTCTCTACAAAACAGTGGAGTGCATCACCAACCTCAGACTACAGTGATTAGTGATTAGAAAGGATTATCACCACAGCACTCCGGACAGATCCATCCAGACAGATCCATAGGTGCTCCGATCTCCTCCTCAGAAGCGTTACAAGTGTAAAACGACTGATGATGCCTGTTCTGTGTTGGTTAAAATGAAACGTCTTGTCTCCTTAGTGAAATGTTCATTTCTTGCAGCTCCAGGCTGCACCCCCATGTCCATCAGTCTAGACAGGGATACGGATTCATGTCCTTTGGCGTGCTCCTCTGTACTGTAACTGGTTTAACCTGTTTGCTTTTTCATTTACCAGGCTCTTCTCTACTTGATCCGAGTGATGGACTCTGTGGTAGACAGTGATTATGTTATTGTGTACTTCCACACAGAGACAACTGGTCGCAACCAGGTAGCCATGGCTTACTTTAAAATGGTTTACAATCTGCTGGATCACAGGTCAGTATACTTATTGTGTTGGTGATAATTTTGTGAATATGTTTATTGTAAATCAAATACCTTTCTTAAAATTTTTGTGTATTCTTGACAAAGCATTAATATTTTATATAGCAGTCATTACCTGATGGGTGGTGTGGTCATCAGCACCTGATGGGTGGTGTGGTCATCAGCCCTGATGGGTGGTGTGGTCATCAGCACCTGATGGGTGGTGTGGTCATCAGCACCTGATGGGTGATGTGGTCATCAGAACTTGATGGGTGGTGTGGTCATCAGCCCCTGACGGGTGGTGTGGTCATCAGCCCCTGATGGGTGGTGTGGTCATCAGCACCTGATGGGTGGTGTGGTCATCAGCCCCTGATGGGTGGTGTGGTCATCAGCACCTGATGGGTGGTGTGGTCATCAGCATTTGATGGGTGGTGTGGTCATCAGCCCCTGATGGGTGGTGTGGTCATCAGCCCCTGATGGGTGGTGTGGTCATCAGCCCCTGATGGGTGGTGTGGTCATCAGCACCTGATGGGTGGTGTGGTCATCAGCACCTGATGGTGATGTGGTCATCAGCACCTGATGGGTGGTGTGGTCATCAGCCCCTGATGGGTGGTGTGGTCATCAGCCCCTGATGGGTGGTGTGGTCATCAGCCCCTGATGGGTGGTGTGGTCATCAGCCCCTGATGGGTGGTGTGGTCATCAGCACCTGATGGGTGGTGTGGTCATCAGCACCTGATGGGTGATGTGGTCATCAGCCCCTGATGGGTGATGTGGTCATCAGCACTTGATGGGTGATGTGGTCCCCTGATGGGTGATGTGGTCATCAGCACCTGATGGGTGATGTGGTCATCAGCACTTGATGGGTGATGTGGTCCCCTGATGGGTGATGTGGTCCCCTGATGGGTGATGTGGTCCCCTGATGGGTGATGTGGTCCCCTGATGGGTGATGTGGTCATCAGCCCTTGATGGGTGATGTGGTCCCCTGATGGGTGATGTGGTCCCCTGATGGGTGATGTGGTCCCCTGATGGGTGATGTGGTCCCCTGATGGGTGATGTGGTCCCCTGATGGGTGATGTAGTCCCCTGATGGGTGATGTGGTCCCCTGATGGGTGATGTGGTCATCAGCCCCTGATGGGTGATGTAGTCATCAGCTCCTGATGGGTGATGTGGTCATCAGCACTTGATGGGTGTCCCCTGATGGGTGATGTGGTCCCCTGATGGGTGATGTGGTCCCCTGATGGGTGGTGTGGTCCCCTGATGGGTGGTGTGGTCATCAGCCCATGATGGGTGGTGTGGTCATCAGCACCTGATGGTGATGTGGTCATCAGCCCCTGATGGGTGATGTGGTCATCAGCCCCTGATGGGTGATGTAGTCATCAGCTCCTGATGGGTGATGTGGTCCCCTGATGGGTGATGTGGTCCCCTGATGGGTGGTGTGGTCATCAGCCCCTGATGGGTGGTGTGGTCATCAGCACCTGATGGTGATGTGGTCATCAGCACCTGATGGTGATGTGGTCATCAGCACCTGATGGGTGATGTGGTCCCCTGATGGGTGGTGTGGTCATCAGCCCATGATGGGTGGTGTGGTCATCAGCCCCTGATGGGGGGTGTGGTCAACATTACTTCCCAGGACATATTCTTGGTACTCATTTAGGTCGAGTGGACCTGGAAACTAGGTCAGTTGTTTTTAAGAAATGTATCCTTATGTGTATTAGAATGCAAGCCCTTGGGGTACGGCAGGTGAGGAATGTAGTATAGATGATTGAGATTGTTGTAAGCAAAAGGATATTACTAAAGAGGATTTGATCCGTTTAGCAGATCTAGCTTATTTTTGTGCACACTGTTAGTTTTTTACCTCTCAGGTAGATGCACTCTTTTCTTCTCTTTCTTTTGTTTGTTTGTTTGTTGCATTCACCAGTTGTAAACTACAGTGGAAAGTCCTGGCTCTTTGTCTACTTCTAGACTTAAGTCTTTTTCCAGAACTTCCAGACTGTTGGTTCCTTGCCTTTCAGGATGACGCACTCACACTTTGAAGAAAGCACCCCTAATTAGTAGACTTTTAGGACATGCTTGTTAGGGGGCAGTGGGTCTGTTCTTTTTTCTTTTCCCCCCACCAATGGGGTCACTGAACCCACACAGGAAGAATGCATTCCCACTTTGAAAGAAATATGGATCCTATCTACGTTGGCCAGGCTCCCGGTTGGGTGCCTGTTTCTAGGATGACCACAGAGAGGTATGGATAGTTCTTGAACAGTAGAGCCCAGGTCCTAGTCCACCACATTACTTGTGGTTCACCGTGTCTGCAGCCCAATACCAATTTGGTATCAGAGTTCCATGCACCATTGGTATATATATCGTCTTTATTAACTTTATGAAACTGAAATATTAATTTAGTTTCATTGTAAAACATTTTTTTGTTTCCATCCTTCAGATACAAGAAGAACTTAAAGCATTTTTATATTGTACATCCAACATGGTGGTCAAGGGTAAGCAATAATTTTGGTTTGTTTCTTTATTGACAGGTCAAATAAGTCTCATCTTCCTAGCGTTCACGGCCTGTAAACTCTTTTCGACAGTTCTGGTTATTCCACAGCTACTGAATGCCAAAACAATACAAAAAATTGTTTAGACAATTTGTTGTTAAGTTTCCAGTGACAAGAGGGAACAGACTTTGCAGTCGGACAATACGTCTTGAAACCCAGGCCTTACAACTCCAGTGGACCGTCACAGTTAGGATGGGTTGGACTTGTATGCAAAATAGGAGAAAGTCGGCTACTATGGCAGGCATGGGAGGCTAGGAACCAGGAAACCAAACCCCCAGGGCCACTTAGGGTCTGCTTAGAAGAAAACATCTGACAGTCCCTGGCTGACAGAGAACTCAAATGGAACAAAGCCAGAAAGAAAACTGCTGATAGAGAAGTATGGCAATCTCTCTGGCAAGCCTCTACATTTGAAGGTAGAAGAGGAGCGACTAAGTAAGAAAGTAAGTAAGTTGTTAAAATTTTTCCAGACTAGACCGCCTACATTGCCAGACAGCACACGAAGGGTGAAATATCAGTATTAGGTTGTCCAAATCTTTCCCTAAGCAGACAGCACACAAAGGATAGTTGATATATCAGTATTGTTGACACCTTTATGTCTTTCCATATGACAGTGTTTATATTGTGCTTTGAGGAGGCAGTCTTTCAAGCTGGAGTGGAGAAGGCAGAATGGAGATTACAGACCAGAAAGTGACAGCATAAACAAACTCAGCTGGAAGGAACAAACATCAATTTTTTTTTAGACTTCGGACAGGACACTGTAGTCTTCGAGCTCACCTGCACAGGACAGGCATAACGGTATCTGCTGCCTGTGATTGTGGAGCAGAAAGACAGACCCCCGAGCACATACTACAGTACTGCCCTAACTTCTCCCAGCAAAGACTGTGGATCTGACCCAAGAAAAGCTATTGCGGACCGGTGGCGACCTTAAACGCACAATCCTATTTGTGACCCAGATGGGACTCAGTGTTTAGCATGACTGATGTCGAACGCAGAAGAAGAAGAAAATGAAGAACAGCCCATAGTGATGGTGAGTGACGCTAGAAAGCCCTACCCGCATTTATTGCATGTGATTTCAGGACTGTTGTTGTCAACATTTGTGTTTAGTGTGTTTCTTCTCAGATGCTATGCTCTCATCCTTTCTTCCTTTATTCTCATTCCTTTTTTGATGTGCCTCCTCCATGCAACACAGTCCAAAGCGTTTTGTTACCACGAGTCCATCTCAGTACCTCATTCATGTCCTGCTTGCACCCATCTTTATATCATAATAGAGGTAGGCCTCAATAGCTTCTACCCATCTGTAATTCACCATAGAGGATATCCTCGGGGACTCTGTCGTCCTCCATTCTCCAGGCAACACAGTCCAGCGTTTTGTTTGTCGAGTCCATCTCAGTACCTCATTCAGTCCTGCTTGCACCCAGCCATCATTAGAGGTAGTCATCAATAGCATTCTCCATCTGTAATTCACCCAGCCATCCTCGGGGACTCTGTCGTCCTCCATTCTCCAGGTGTGACCCAGCCACTTGTTTGTCATCCTCCATTCTCCAGGTGTGACCCAGCCACTTGTTTGTCATCCTGCATTCTCCAGGTGTGACCCAGCCACTTGTTTGTCATCCTGCATTCTCCAGGTGTGACCCAGCCACTTGTTTGTCATCCTCCATTCTCCAGGTGTGATCCAGTCACTTGTTTGTCATCCTCCATTCTCCAGGTGTGACCCAGCCACTTGTTTGTCATCCTCCATTCTCCAGGTGTGATCCAGCCACTTGTTTAATCCAAAGGAAAGGTAACACCAGTATGTTCAGTACAAAGGAGGCTGCAGAAGTTTCCAGATAAGAAGAGAATTGCTCTGCCTGTAAGAGCCTCCCTCCTAGACCAGCTTCCAGTCAAGACTAAGGACTATATCAGTATTATGGTGTCTATATTTTTAACTGACAAGGCAGCACACAGGCTGTGATGTGTCAGTTATTCATTGTCTGTATCTTAACTGACCAGACAGCACACAGAGGGCTATATCAGTATTATGATGTCTGTATTTTACACTGACACGCAGGACACAGACTGTGATATGTCAGACAGTTATTCATTGTCTGTATCTTCCCCGATCAGACAGCACACAGAGGGTAATTTATCAGTAGTACATTGTATTTTTCCCTGACCAGATGATGTACAACGGCTGGTATGTCAGTATTATGCTCTCCAAGTTTTCCATGGCCTACTGGCATACACAGCCTGGCATATCATTATTAAAGTAATAAAATAAGTAAAGCTCCAGTGTCCACTCCCTTTGGCATATTTAGCCCCATTTTCTTCTGGATTAATTGATACTGAATGAATAATGTAGCCGGTGTTCTGTTAGCTGCTTTTAGTTTCCCATATTTCCCTTTGGGTTCTGGGGTATCTCTGTGTGTTAGAAACGGGGAAGAGGGTGGGGGGGGGGGGGGGGCTGAGATTAGGCCGTTTCCCTAACAAGCATGCAATAAGAGTTGACCAATGAAGACTGTTTCCTTTGAAATTGGAGTGCATCTGCCTGAGAGACGAGGAACCAACAGTCTGCATACATGTAAGCTAGATTTGTAAAATGTGAAAAAGACATGGTGTCTTAACACTCAGGGTTGGCTGCAACATGTCCCCAACACTCTCTTTTTCTCTAATTGTGCATGCACTCTCTCAGACTGCTGTTAGTCTGCTCTTGATTTTATCCTCCCACCCTCCAACTTGTATCAGTGTCATACTTCTTGCTCATCCGCCTTCAACTTCTCCCTTGTTAAGATATTCATAAGAGTAGCATATGCAGGGATAATTGAGATTCATTTATCAGTGTACTGCAGGAGCAGATCACACTTTAACACATGCTGAGAGAAACAGAGCACAAATGGGTATATCCCACATGCATTAAAGTCATAATTAATTTTTCAGTTAATCATTATGTCTCCATCTGTTTTTATTTTTATTTTTATTATTTTAGCTGGCAACCTGGTTTTTCACCACCTTCACGGCATCTGACCTCAAGCACAAAGTTCATAACCTCAAAGGAGTTCAATTTCTGTTCACCAAGATGAACCCTGACCAGATTGATGTTCCTCAGTTTGTTCAGGAATACGATATCAAGGTATGAGCCTGTATTCTGCTTGTTCTCTAGTAGAAAATATGTGCATTTTCTCCTCAAAATCTGCAAGCTTCATGTTTTTTGTTTGTGCATTACAATCATTCTCACAATCGTCTTAGCAATCCCTGGCTGTAAACTCCAGAAGAAAGCTCTGGTTGTCCCTCCACTTCTGGACTTTGGTCTTGTTCCAGAACTTAAGTTTTATTTGCACATCTCTTTTTTTTAAACAAATCAGGTTTATTTTAAATGCAGACTGTTGGTTCCTTACCTCTCAGGCCTTTGCATTTAGACTTTGAAGGAAAGCCTCCTAATAATGCACCATTTAGGGCGTAGGGTGTCTATACTTTTCCTTCCTTAGTCAACACGGAAACCCACACAGAAATCAACCAGGATCCATGGAAGAGCATTAGCTAGCACACTTGCCTGTGGTCAGTTGTTTTAATCCAGACCTTTTAATTTTTTTCATTTTTTTGTTATAGTTAAACTCTTTTAGCCCAAAAGAACGTGAAACCAACAATTCCAGTTTGGGACCATTTTCCTGCAAAAGCCTGCTTTTTCCATTTCACTATAGAGAGATGTTTACAAGATGTCTAGCTTACAGAATTCAATGTATCTGGATTGGATTGGCTTTTTACCCCACCAGGACATCACACAAGCGATAAACACCCGATGACACAAAGTGCCACCATGCGGATGAGGATCACCGTGGAGAGGTGCCAGAAACCGCGTTCAGACATTTGGCCATAATGATGACCTGCCTATATTGCGGCCCCTGGCAAAAGCCAGTGGGGCTTCAAATAACAAAAAATAACGTCCTAAGAAGGACGTAAGAAGTAACCAATTCATTGTATCTGTTTTCTGGGCAAACATTTAGCATGACAGGGGATAATTAAATTTACTATAAAAATAGCTTTTAACAAAATTACTTTATTAAAAAAAAAATATTTTAAGTCATATTTTCCCCACTGGCTCCAGTGGTTACCAGGTGACTGGGTCACAGTTTCAACTACATGTCACACTATAATTATTTTATAGGTCCCCAAGAGATAGAAGCCAGTTGATTCTATTCTGCAGTTGTCTCTCTTGATTACTGCCCTTTCTATAGTATTTGTTTGTTTTGAATGATACATTTTGTGAATTAAAAAAAAAAATAATAATTTGTGTGACTTCTGTAAAACGGTTGTTTCTCTTAGTTTCTCCCCCCCCCCCCCCCCCCGGAATATTTGAAAAATGGAAAGAATTTAAACTTTTTTTTTCTAGACCACTGGTGTGGCAGTGTTAAATTGGGTTTTAAAAAAAAAAATCTTTTTGTTTCCTGAAAAGCCAGTCAGTTTTTTTAAATATACCAGTTGAATAAGATAGCAGGTAGGTGTAAACCTGTTTTCTGCTGGTTTTCATTAAGGTCAGTTTTTGGAACATCTGTGCTCATTTCCCTCTTAATTAGTAAGCTTTATGTATGTTGTGCATTCGTCATTATCAGATCTCTTTATGCCTAGTGGCACATAAGGCTTCAGAAAGGACTTTCCATGCCTTCCTGTCTTGTGCAATCTTCTGTGTCAGAGATGCCACACTCAGGTCATTTTCTATCTTTCATCTTTATGTTGTTTTTGGGTGCCCCTTCTTTCTCTTTCCCTCTTGTATCCAATTAAGAGCTCTGTTTTGGCAGGTATATCAGGATTTGTTTTCATAACGTGGTCAAGCCATCTCCGTCTTTGTTTTCATTTGTGCATTGCAGTCATTGTTTTCCAAGGAAAACCATGTATTTTTGTTTCCTTCTGAAAGCTGGTTCGGTTTTTAAATATACCTGTGAAACCACTTTTATGTAGTCATGTCAGTTTGAACAATGAAGACACAAACAATAGATTGCACAATTTATTTTGTTTGGCATTTTTTGCGGTATCTCGTCAGTTGCATACTACAGTAACAATTACATAAATGAAGCAAAAAAGTGAATCCTTTAGAACTGAAGTACAATTTCAACAACAGTCAAACATAACTGCCTGTTTTTACCAGGGCAGTCGTAAAGACAGAACCATATCTTTCTGTATACAGAATCCTGGGTGCAGGTGACAAATTGAGGAAGCTTCAAGAAATCATAGCGTTCTGCCATTGTTTGATGTATGAAGTCATGTCAGTATTTTCCACTTAATCCCATCATAATCTTTATTTTTTTTTTTTTTTTATGACGTTTTTAAAAAAAACTTTAACAAGAATTGCATCAGTCTATAGAAACTAGAAGAAGAGAAGAATCAGAAAAAAATTGGAGTCTCGATAAGTTTTTATAAAATTCATGCCCACCGCTTCTACACACTTTGCAATTGCAACCAGTACCAAAACTGTTACATGGTAATACTAGCCACTGTCCGAACATGACGTCATCAAAACACCAGTGAAAGCTGAGAAATCGGCTTTCTCTGTGAGACAGGGTTCATGGATTTGCTTACCCTAGAATTAGCATCTAGCAATGTATTCCTTTTTCCTCTTCTTTTTCTTCAGTTTCTTTGTTATTACTTTGGGTGTCAGGGGGTGAAGGGCTGAGTGGTCTCAAGGTATGGCGTCAGTCCCGGGTTCAAACCCCGGTGAAGGCTGAGATTTGTTTAAGTGGACCTAGTAATTTTCCCTGGTCTCTGGGTAGTAAGATTGTATGCCTGTGTGTATTGTTGCGCATATAAAAAAAAAATCAGTTGGCAGTTTGAAATAAAAAAAGAGTAGCCTAACGGTGCTGCACGAGCAAAATTTGGAGTTTATAATCTACCCAAAGTATTTCAGGATCCTCTTGAGTTAGAAGTAGAACCGAGCACTTATGGGTTACTAACCTTGTGCCATGATGTTGATCCGTTGTGTAAACCATAAACCAATTATTCAGAAAGCATTTAGAATCAAATGCCTGCATTTGTATCATTAGAAAAACTGGTCCTCTAGGGACAACACCTGTTGATCAGGGGTTGGTGAGGAGTCACCACACATATGAGACTACAAATATCCCTAAAAATGGTCCTCTAGGGACAACACCTGTTGATCGGGGGTTGGTGAGGAGTCACCACTCATATGAGACTACAAATATCCCTCAAAAATGGTCCTCTAGGGACAACACCTGTTGATCAGGGGTTGGTGAGGAGTCACCACTCATATGAGGCTACAAATATCCCTAAAAATGGTCCTCTAGGGACAACACCTGTTGATCAGGGGTTGGTGAGGAGTCACCACTCATATGAGACTACAAATATCCCTAAAAATGGTCCTCTAGGGACAACACCTGTGGATCAGGGGTTGGTGAGGAGTCACCACTCATATGAGACTACAAATATCCCTAAAAATGGTCCTCTAGGGACAACACCTGTGGATCAGGGGTTGGTGAGGAGTCACCACTCATATGAGGCTACAAATATCCCTAAAAAATGGTCCTCTAGGGACAACACCTGTTGATCAGGGGTTGGTGAGAAGTCACCACACATATGAGACTACAAATATCCCTAAAAATAGTCCTCTAGGGACAACACCTGTGGATCAGGGGTTGGTGAAGTCACCTCACATATGTGACTACAAATATCCTTAAAAAATGGTCCTCTAGGGACAACACCTGTGAATCAGGGGTTGGTGAAGTCACCTTACATATGAGACTACAAATATCCCCCAAAACTAACCAGGAAGGCTAAGCCAGATAGTAGATGCCTGAAGAAGTAGGATTTGTCAGCCGATAGTTGCAAATATTGCAGCTTTGCTGTAATCAGGCACAACCAGTTTGCATCACTCAGATAAACAGTGAGAGAATAAAAGAAATATTAGAAATGCTATTTTTATGAGTTATTTTGTGTTTCTTTTCAGATAAATGGCCCTCGCTATGTGGTGACTGTTTCAAACTCAGATGACAATCTGTAATAACACATAGTGACTCCTGGATCGTGGCATATGTGGCAACAGTATTTTCTACATCTCTGATTTGTTCAGAATTTACATATCACATTCTGTTAGTTTTCTTAAAATGTCAAACATCGAATAAGAATTAGTAGAGGTCACGGTTTTACTGCAGATGGGTTGTCCCATAAATGCTTTGTTTCTTTGCCAGCGGAAATCACACAAAATATCCTTCATAGTCCCAATTAGAAACTAGTGAAAAACATGCCAGTCCCAGCAAAACTTGAAGCCCACACACACAGAGTAAAAGCATAAGTTAGATTTACCATTATTAAAAGTTGTGTGCTGTTGTGTGGGAATAGTGAAGGAAGCTCTATAGCATATTTAATTTTATATATAATTAGGTCATAGCATATTGACCATTTCCCTTTTATGCCAGATTTCTTCCTCACCCTGAACCCTATGTTGTGGTGCTGGTAAGCAAGAAATAGCATAACCACCGTAAAATAGCATTACAACGGAGTCCATGTTATAAAATTGGTACTTTTGGTATCACAGTAGAGGTCTGTGATATTTGCATATTCTTTACAGGACGTTGCAGAACCAACGCCAGCTGTTTTTGGCTGTTGTAGTCGATCTTCTCAACTTTAATCTTTAACTTTGACTGAGGAATCTACTGATTCATAGGAGGTTTATAGCAGTATAGATGTTTATGTTTATTCAGCATCATGGCACATGGGTGTAACCCATAAGTGCTCCGTTCTACTTCTATCTCTAGCCTGAGTCTGAAGAATCTCAGCTCCGTGCACGAACTCCATTGCGCCTGCTAGGATCCTGAAATACTTTGCGTAGATTTTAAACTACTTTTCGATTTCCAACTGCCAAGGTATTTTTACCTGCACAACAATACACACGGGTGTCTGATCTTACTACCCAGAGACCAGAGGAAAATTACTAGTCCACGTAAAAAAAAAAATCCCAGCTGTCACCGGGGTTCGAACCTCTAGCACTCGAGGTGGATGCTATACATTGAGACCACCCAGCACCCCCCCCCCCAGTAATATAGATGGGTCTGCAGTAATATAATAATGTCCATAGTATCACTGTGGGATCCCATTAGAGCTGAGAGGTGCACCACCACATGCTTATTAGAATAATTCTTAGACCATGATGTCAGAAATGGTTTGATGGTTTCTCATTAAGAGCTCACTGAATGTGAGATCTTCCGCTGGATCAGTGCTCAGTCTCAACATTTGATGACTTTTATCCATGGTATGCACACGTATGACAAGCATCTTTCATAGAGTTCAGTCTCTTCTTCTTAGCACTCACGGCTGTAAACTCCGGCATAAATTTCTAATTGTTTGCTCACTTCTGGACTAAAGTCTTGTTCCAGAACTTGAGTTTTGTTTTGTGTGCAGACTGTTGGTCCCTTGCCTGTTAGGCAGATGCACTCCAAATTTGAAGGAAAACCTTTAATTAGTCACTTTTTATACCATTATTTTAGGGGTAGGGGGGTATCTGCCCTCTCCAATTCCAGAACCCACACAGAGAATGGGGTTTAGTAAAACTTGTGAAAAGCTAGCTGCTTTCTCTAGAAAGATGTAGAGTATCCCTTTTTCTGCAGCACGTCAGCCTTAACTTCTCCCATGCTTGCGATTGAAATCACAAAACAGTCTGAAGGTCAGATCCAGGTATTTCCAGAGGTAATGTTTTCCCAACCACTGCTCATACATTGAAAGGTACAGACAGTGACATACAGGGGGACAGTCAACTCACTGCATAATGCAGTGACTTAGTATGTGGAAGTCTATATCACTTACAGTTGAGTAAAAGTATGTTTAATAACTTAACTCCGTTACTTGGATTATCTTTCATTTACTGCAGTGCAATTTATTTATGCAGTTTATATTGTCTCTACATAGTATATAGTGTTGTTTATCAGGAGCAGGTTTTTAAAATAAAAATCACATGACAAAGTCATTTATTACCCTTTAATATTCATAGTATAGTTTTCATATTTTTTAGTTTATCACTAATGCGTGTTTTCTCATTAGAGATTTAAATTTATATAAAAATGTTAATTATCATTAATTTATGTTGCTTTAATTAAGCCGAAAGTGAATGTATGATAACTGACATTTTTCTTAAGACTTTGAAAAATCAAACTATTTTGTAAATATTGGTGAATGTTTTCATTTATTACCGTGATCACATTTTACAGAAATTATTATAATTCACTGTTGTTTAAAGTGTCATCAATAACTGTCTGATATTGAAACTTGAAAAATATAAATTCGACACAGCTAGTTCGTTCTACTTGTAACCTGTTATTTGGATTAGAACTCAGTCATAAGTCAAGAAGACCCTGTATTGTTGTTACTTGCTCATTGTTGTTGATGAGGAGAACTATTAATTTGTCATTCTGAGATATTGTTTTCAGCCATAGCAGATCATACCTGCCAGATATATCAGAAACAGTGAGAATAGAAGTGTGCCGACTGTCGATCAGAAATAACATGACATTTGACATTTGTAAAGCATATCCTGGGTACCTTCTTTTTTTTTTTTCCTTTTCTTCTTCTTCCTCATTTTTATTCTTCTCCCCCTCCTCCTTCTTCTTCTTCTCCTCCTTCTTCTTCTTCTTCCTTCACCTCCCCTCCTCCTCTTCTTCATTCTCCTCCCCTCCTTCTCATCTTATTCTTCTTCTCCTCCCCTCCTTCTCTTCTTCTTCCTACTTCTCCTCTCCTTCTTTCACCTTTTAAGGACAGTTGACACATTGTTTTTTGGTTTACCACTGCTCAGCGATATCTGCATATTTTGGTGTGCAACATCATATTTCAGCAAAGCATTGATTAAACCTCTTTTAAGACGGGGTTGGGGGGGGGGGAGGGGGGAGAATAGACCAGCTGCCCCCCCCCCCCAAATGAGGCCCCAAAACCCACATGGAGTTCATACTACTCAAAAACAGAAGAACAGATATCTAACAATAGCAGGCAGAGCAGTCCATCAGTTTTCTCCTAATTTTAAATGGGTGGCAAAGTTGTTAAGCCATTTGCCTCACATTCTGAAGGTTGCAGTTTAAGACAGTTTGCTAGTGTAGGCGTTTCAGAAACCTTTAGGGGTTGTCACTGTAGCTGCAAAATTTTGTACTTAAAAAAAAATGATCTGCACAGAGAGAAACTGAGCCTTATGGCATAATATCTGGTGCAGTTGTCGATCCTTCAGAACTCTTTTAAAAAGCAGAACCATAGCCAATCAATTATTCTTTCATATCTTCACGTATGTTTTTCTTCCAACGCAAGCTAGCCTACCAGAATCGGACCTTTTATTGTTATTGCTGCACAACAAATGCCCAATGAAGTTGAATGTATTGGCCTGAAGATGCAAATATTGCAGCTGTGCTGTAGTCAGGTATATCACAATTATTTCTTCTTCTTTGCGTTCACCAGCTGTAAACTCTGGTGGAAAGTTATGGTTGCTCGTCCACTTCTGGACTGCAGTCCTGTTCCAGAACCTGAATGTTTCGTGTGCATCCTTTTGACAGATCTGACACATTTGAGTGTAGACTGTTGGTTCCTTGCCTCTCAGGCAGATGCACTCCGATTTTGAAGGAAGCTCCCAATTAGTCGACTCTTACGACATGCTTTTGGGCAGGCAGTGGGTCTATTCTTGTTTTCCCTACAATAGGGCCCCGGAACCCACACAGGGGAATCACAATTATTTGACTTGGATGAAGAAAGAGAGAAAGAAAGAACCCACCATTTAATATTTTCTTTGAGTTTTTTTTTTTAAATCTGGCATGAAGGTGACTGCAGATGCAACAATGAGATGAAAAATGCTTTATTTAGAATTGAAATATTGAAAACACAAACTCATTTTCAGGAGTGGCCTTTTTTCATTTTTTTATTGATGATGTCTTTTTTTAAGACTGATGTGTTCCTGCTTTGTCACAGAGCTTAGCTATTATTTGTTGACTTTACATTTTTGTATTAGGTTGTTGAGGCTCTATTGGCTTTTGTGCAATTTTTTTAATTGTTGTATGCATTTTAGTACAGATGACACGAGTTACTAAATTTTGACTCAGATTAATATTGAATCAAACTGTTTTATTAAAAACTACTAATCACTTGCTTGATGTCTTTAAATAAACAACCAGTAAGATTCTGGCAAGATCTATAATTTAATTTAACCATCAATCATATACCTGATATCTATAATTTAAGCGCCAATAGGTTTCTGTCAAGATCTGTAATTAAACCGCCTATCATATACTTGAGATTTTTGATCAAACCACAGATAACATCCTGGCTTCCCAGTAATAATTATGAGATCTATAATTAAAACACCACTCGGAAGTTTGAGACACATAATCAAACCACCAATCGCAAGTCTTAGATCTTTATTCAAACCACACATACATGTATGGGATCTATAGATTAAACCACCACTAACATCACCATATAACTATAATAATTCCACCAAACGCTGTCATGACCTTTAATTAAACCACAGTTCAGAAGCTTGAAACACATAAACTACCAATCGCATGTCTTAGATCTGTATTCAGATCACCAGTAACATGTAGGGGATCTGTAATTAAACCACCAGTCAAATCTCTAGTTTTAGAACTATAATAAAACCACCAGTCACTAGCAGGTGATCTTTGATTAAACCACCAATCAGAAGCATGAGACATAATCAAACCACCAGTAACAAGCCTAGAATCTTTAAGGAAACCACCAATCACTAGCCGGAGGCCTTTAATTAAACCACCAGTCAGAAGAATGAGACATATAATCAAACCACCAATGACAAGCCTAGAATCTTTACGCAAACCACCAGTCACATGCATGAGGTCTGTTTATTATGTTTTTTCTTTATCCCGTAGTATGCTACCACTGGTGTTTCATCATTCACTAAACAGTTCAACCTCTGTATAAATTTTACATTTGACAAACCTGTACAAAACAGCTTTTTCCTCCCAATATGTATAAATTTACCTAGCTTTTCATTTTTTTTTTTAAAGATTTGGTTGTTGATTTGCTATCCGCGAGATTCTGATTATTATTCTCTAGTCATTGTGTTGATTGCTTACAGCAATGTTTTAAAACGAATAATATTTTTGTTTTTTTTAAATGTGATTCAGTATCTTTTTTTTGGCACTCACATGACTATCATTGTTTACTTAGAGAGAAGTTCACAGTGGTATGCAGTTGTTTTCATCTACATTTCATTTTTATATATTTTCACAATATCTGGTTGTGTTTGCATTTAAAAAAAAAATAGTTGTTCATAAAGTTTGTTTTGTTAATCAAGATTGCTGCATCACAATTTTTATTTTAGCTTTCTGAAATCTTGTTGATATTTCTTTCAAAATCTGCAAGCAAATGTTATGAAATGAATACTTAATGGTAAGTGAATGTTGTCAAGCTGTTGTATAATGATGGTGTTTCTATGTTTTATTCTGCCTTTTATCTCTCATTGCAGCATAGACTCTGAAGTCAGTGGTTGGAGTCTCTGGGGCAGTCACCACTGGCAAAGTCAATGTCACTGTGCCTGAGCATGAGCATGCAGGTGTGAAATAAAACTGACATGTTGATAGGTTTGCAGACAGGGGGTAATGTAGAGGACAACTGAATATTGGATCAGGATAATATACTTAATTTAGTTATTATAACTGTGAATCTGCAACTGTGAACAGACTTCAAGGAAAGCAAATTAAAAAAGTTAAGGACAGACAAGAACTCCATACAGGGAGTCAAAGAAGAAGAATAAACTAACGCAAAACTGGTGTCGTCAGGTGTTAGCCACTGAAGGATTTACTGAAGAAGGGATCTGAGCAATTATGCACTGATTGGTTGGATGTGCAATGTCTGTTGACTAACTAACTAATCGGCCACTCAGACAGCTCACGCCATTTTGTAGATTTGTTTATGATTGGTTGGATGTGCAATGTGCAGTCTGTAGACTAACTAACTAACCAGCCTCTCAGACAGCTGACACCATTTTGTAGATTTGTTTATGATTGGTTGGATTTTGCAGCTAAGTTTGAATGCAGGATTAGGAAGCCATTCTGGTACCAAGCCTCTTTAGTTGCCTTTCATGACTTGTATAGCTGGCTACTTTATTATTATTTTTTTTAATTTTTTCCTTACAAATGTGCATTCTGTAGGATTAACTGATTAATTAATTCTCAAGGATGAGAATCAAGCAGCTTTAAGTCCCGGAAACCCTGTTTAACCCTATAGCACAGTTATATCGGGGAACCACAAAATTGTTGTGACATAACCTGTAGTTTTATAAGTCCTGTCATCAGATAAGCTATGGTTATTTTACAATTGTAGAATTCCAGAAAGCAATGGCAAACTACTGGACATAAATTTGCCTAGAAAAACCACACAACAGCCAGGGGCTGTTGGGATTGGTTCTACAACCTCCTGTAAAGCATACGCAACTAACCTTAGAATATTTGTTATCTATAATGGTTGACCCCCCAAATCAACCCAGCCTAAAAGTAAAAGGTACAGGGAAATGTAATGGAAAGTAAAAGCGGTTGGCATAATGTTGACCACATCATCCATCAAATACTGATTGGTTTATAAAACAAATGCTGATTGGTTTATAAAACAAATGTTGATTGGTTTATAAAACTTTGTCTTGCATCACAGGCCTGATTTTCCTAGCCGCAAAAGGGTATTTTCCTTGTTTATAAAATATTGTTTAAATGCTCAAGGGAAAGGTGAGACGGATATACAATCAGACTGTTACTAGTTTTACTGACATTTTCTGCTGAAGATGGTGTCCTAACACTTATAGAGTGCCCTGAGAGCTGCAGTGTCAATTCCTAATTCAACATTATAATGGCTAAAGTGTTTGGCCTCCTGTTTCTCAAATCTTTGAGTAGATTCTTTTTTTTTTTTTTTATCGAACACCGGCTGTGAATTCCAGTGGAAGGTCCCGGTTAATCGTCCGCTTGGACTTTTGGCTTTCACCTGGACCTGATTTTTGCGTGTACAACCGTTTTTCATTTCCCTGCCTCTTGGGCAGCTGTACGCCGACTTCGAAGGAACATTTGAGTAGATGAGTTTGGTTAAAGGAAACAAAAAATAATCCTAATTCTGTTATTAAAATAACAATGATGATCTACCTCCAGGTAGCCATGGCAGCACAGAGGTTAGCGTGTTTACCTGCCAGCCTCATGGTCTGGGGTTCTAATTCACAGTGTTTCAGACTTGTAAACATTGACTTGGATTTCCAGGTCAACGCAGCCTAAAAAAGGCGCCAGATAATGTTCTGAGTTGGTAAATAAATCAATTTTTTTTTCAAAGTGTCACAAGTTTGGCACGCAGGCCCATCTTACAATTGGCACTCTCAAAAACTCATATTTCACACAATAGTATTTTATCTATAAGGAATGCAGCTACCGTAGTGTTGCACATTATTTTAAGAATTGGTGGCAGACACCTCAGTCCCAAACAACTTTGTTTTTCATGTTTATCATACCTTGGTTATATTACACCTTTTATACTTTAGTTATTTTTGTTACTTATTGTATTAATTGTCATGTGACGAACTGGCAAATCTTATGTGTAGAATATTGGTATTAACCATTTGAAACCCAGTTTCCTTTGACCTCTAGATATTCTGTACAGGGGCTCATGATGGAAAAGTCTCATATTTTACTTCATTTAACCACTTTCATTTATTGTCTCAGTCGTCTGTGATTTCTTCTAGTGAGTGATTCAGTGGGAAAAGTAATTCACCACATTGTTTTCTAAAATCTAAAGATACGTACAATTAGAAAACTGATTTCAAAATCTCAGGTGCCTCTACCTGAGAGGTGTGGAAACCAGTAGTCTGCATACCAATAAGCCAGGTCTGTTATATGTGCACACAAATCTCAAGTCTTGTAACGTAATCAAAAGTCCAAAGGTAGATGAGCAACCAGAACTTTCTGCCAGAGTTTGTTGCCTCTAAACACAAAGAAGAAAAAGAAGCATTCTGTTATTGCATGGGATGTGACCATTCCATAGTTCACAGATGCAAGCTTATTGTTTATATAGAAAGTAGCTGCAGGGGCCAATATATTGGGATCTTTGTGTCAAAAGAGATGTAACAAGTATAGCTTATATTTTCAGGTAAATTTATATTTTGTTTTGTTAATCAATAATGCTATATATGAATTTTTATTTCAACTTGCTGCAGAATTATTGCAACATTTTTTTTCTTTATGCAAGAAAGTATATTTAATATTTTTTCTTTAGCAACATCAGTCGTGATATATTTGCAGTTTAGTTTTATTTGTAAAGATTCATGTCTTTTATCTTCATTGTAACTGTCATGAAATAACACTTACACATACAGCTCGAATATTGTTGCATAACATTATGTTATGTGTAGTTAAAATACACAGCTCACCATACTGTGGGTTGTTTATAAAGAAACTCATTGCAAGAAGATAAGAATGAATCATTTTTATTTAAACTGTCCTACAAAGTGTGTGCTTTGCATGCACATTTTTTTTTTAAATACTTGTTTTTTTTTTCTTTGCTTGCTTTACATTATTGAGCATGCCTTCTTTAAGTCTCAAAAGATGCCATTCGGTCACCATTTACAACATGCTTGTAAAAGAACAGTGGGTCTTTTTCCTCAAAATGGGTGCTCTGGAACCCACACAGGAAAGTAAACAATTGATATCAGTGCTTGAGTCGCCAAGGATGTCTACATGACAAGGTGTAGTACATGTTTATCCATCTTTCAGGGTGAAACCGTTGGAGCAGATGATGGATTGAGCTTGAGAGCATCTCATAGATTGGTTGGCGGGACAGGCAGCACTTGCGGGTGTACTGCAACTCCACAAGGCAGAGGTGATCTCTCGCTTGTGGAACAAGTTAATATGTTGTTCGTTTGTTTGTTTCAGTATCCAGAAGCCATGAGTTATTAACCCTTAGGCTCGGTATTATGGATATTGCAACCTTTTGGCCTTGATTCCATTTTAAATACCGTTAATCTGGAAGAAAATGTGGCTTTTCTGCCCACCCCCGGGAGTGAACCCGAACCACAAGGAGTTCGTCACCCGCTCACCGCGCAATCCGGTTTAGCCATCTACGCTATAGAGACGGGCGAACAAGTAAATATAAGTCAAATATAAAATGAGAGCCGCTATGGTCTAGTGGCTAGATGCCCACTTGAGGATCAGAAGATCGTTGTTTTGGGTCCTGACAGGGGGCCAGACTTTTTTCAAAAATGTCCTTGGCTACCAGGTTGACTCAGCCTTGAGTGGGTATTAGGTTCAGTCCTGGGAAGTAAAGTCAGCCAGTGTGATGCTGACCACATCTTCTACCAAGTGCCGTTGGGTCTATGAAATATAGGTCTAGCCCTATATACCCAATTCGCCATTACTTTTACTTAAAATATAAAATAGTAAAAAAGATACATGGAGAGAATGAGGCAACGGAGAGTGTCTGTGAGCTCTGGGCACCAGATGAGACTGGTGGGGTGGGGGAGGGGGTGTCAAGATAAGTCATTAACCAGATAACAAGTACCATCTTATATGCAAACTCTTCGCTAGCTGTTGAGGAGGGAGACAAAGTTCTAATATGTGCTTGACCCGAATGCTGTGATGTTGGATCTTTACCCTGAGGATCCCAGATGACAAGTGTGTCAAGTTCCTGGACAGTAGGCAGACACTCACACTAAATTGACAATAGCTACAAGCATTTTTACTTTTTTCAGCCTCACTATAAAAAAAAACACTTTGTGATGAATATAAAAGCTCGTTTCCTTGTATGACGGCCCTGCAAATATTACTACACTGGTCATAATTTCTGTTTCAGAATCTCTGAATTAAATTTACCAAATTGGGTTTGACACCGAGTGAGTTAATTTTTCTTTCCAGTCAGTAAAACCGGAGTCTACAGACCTATATTTTGCGTTGGTAGCATCACAGAAAAGATATTTTATTCAAATTGGGTCATCTGCTATTTTCATTGTCTGTTATTCGTCCCAGTTATATTGATAAGTGTTTTCTCAGGGTAACTAATGCATGTTTTATATCCATTCAACTGGTTGTGCGACATCTGATGATATTTTATCTAAAGAATGATGCCAGCTTGTCAAGTCTTTCATAAATAATAAAACCGAGAGGACCTTGATTTGCCTAATTTTTTGAGATTCTGGTGCATCTCTAAGTTTGTGGGCTCCTTCTTTTAAATTTTGTTATGTGATACTGAAACAAATTCACTAATTTTTAAATCGCAGAACATCTTTAAAAAAGATTATTATATTATGTATTAGAATTGCATAACTAAATCACGTAATTTCTTTTTAAAACTACCTTATAACTGATATCAGAAAATAAATGTGAACATTAAACAATATTGCCCATTACGTTTTGGGATATCAGTTATAAGGTAGTTTTAAAAAGAAATTGCGTGATTTAGTTATGAAATACTAATAAAATAAAAATCTTTTTTAAAGATGTTCTGTGATTTAAAAGTTAGTGAATTTGTTTCACAATCCTCAGCATACTAGAGTCTGACTCCTGTGGTGGTTAGTTTAGAGAACAGACCATTTTCCTGATGTTTAGACAGAATCATCATAACAGCTCTGTGGAATAGATTAAGGCCTCACAGCGTAATATTCGGCAGTGAAAGTGCATACTATGTTCAGTAAACACAGTTTGTTATTTTAGTTCTTTAAACAGTATTGTGATTTTGTTGAATTATTTGTTTAGTGTCGTGATAACTGTCTCACAAAGAATGTTAAGAAAGGTGAAGACAGGCTTGCTGTCTGCAGTGCGGTGAGCATTGCTTCAGAAGTCCCATGTAGTTAGCGTCCTGTGAATATTTTCACTGGGTGTGCATGAGCATTGGGAAATGAACAGGCAGACAGATTGGCAGGTTCAGCACCAGTGGGTGGCGAATTTATGACAAGCTAGATGTGGTCAGTCGGCTCTGTGGCTAAGTCGATGCGAACACTTCGCTTCGAAATGCAGGGATGCCGGGTTCGATCCCAGCTGCGGGCAATGCGCCTTGCGTTGGTTTCGACAGTGGTATCAAGAAAGCCGACCGTCCAGAAAGCAATGGCAAACTACTGGACGTAATTTGCCTAGAGAAACCACACAACAGCCAGGGGCTGTTAGGATTGGTTCTGCAACGTCCTGTAAAGGATACGCAACAACCATGAAGATGTGGTCAGGATCCTTTGGGAGTAAGTGAACAGTGCAAAGGTACAAATACCTCATTATGGTCTGGAGAGAATAGTGTATCTAGGAGTGACCAGCAAATCTGGTCAACCATCGGCACTCAGAGGAAAGGCAACCCAGACATATAATCAAACTGCTGCTGGCACCACAAGAACTCTTGGTTCACTGCTGAAGATAAGGATGGAGCACTTATGCAAGTGTCCTGAGTGTTGTGATTTCATTTCTAATGGGACTGAAAGAGTTAAAAGAATGATTGGTATGTTGGGATTTGCAGCTGGGCTGTGGTATCTGCCCCTTTTAGGCAATGGCATCTCATTTTAGCAAAATCTGACTTGGGTTCCTTCTACAACCTGCTTTTCAGAGGGCAGTGGGTCTGTTTTTGTTTCCTTCTCAAAATTGGGCCCCGCAATCTGCATAGGAAATTCTGTTATGAAATAACTAATGAGGTATTGATTTGTGACAACATTGTCAGGGCTGTTTTGTCTCTTAATACCAGCACCTTTTTTTAAAGGCATTATCTAGTTTTGAGAGATTCACATTTTTTTTAATACATTCATGGCCACTTTAATTATTTAGTTTTGAGTGATTGGCATTTTTTTTTTTAAACATTCATAGCCACTTAGAATAATTTAGTTTTGAGAGATTGGTATTGTTTTTTTTTTTTTTTATGGCCACTTTAACTGCAATTAAAATCCACCGACCTTGAACCTGTAAACGAAGTCTCCTACTTGTGAGATTACTTTTGAGATTACTTGTGAGTTTACTTGTGAGTTTACTTGTGAGATTACTAGTGAGATTACTTGTGAGATTACTTGTGAGTTTACTTGTGAAATTACTTGTGAGTTTACTTGTGAAATTACTTGTGAGTTTACTTGTGAGATTACTTGTGAGATAACTTGTGAGATTACTTTTGAGATTACTTGTGAGTTTACTTGTGAGATTACTAGTGAGATTACTTGTGAGTTTACTTGTGAGTTTACTTGTGAGATTACTAGTGAGATTACTTGTGAGTTTACTTGTGAGTTTACTTGTGAGATTACTTGTGAGTTTACTTGTGAAATTACTTGTGAGATTACTAGTGAGATTACTTGTGAGATTACTTGTGAGTTTACTTGTGAGATTACTTGTGAGATTACTTGTGAGTTTACTTGTGAGTTTACTAGTGAGATTACTTGTGAGTTTACTTGTGAGATTACTAGTGAGTTTACTAGTGAGATTACTTGTGAGTTTACTTGTGAGATTACTTGTGAGATTACTTGTGAGTTTACTTGTGAGATTACTAGTGAGATTACTTGTGAGTTTACCTGTGAGATTACTTGTGAGTTTACTTGTGAAATTACTTGTGAGATAAATTGTAAGTTTACTTGTGAAATTACTTGTGAGATTACTAGTGAGATTACTTGTGAGTTTACTTGTGAGATTACTAGTGAGATTACTTGTGAGATAACTTGTGAGATTATTTGTGAGATTACTTGTGAGATTACATGTGAGTTTACTAGTGAGATTACTTGTGAGATTACTTGTGAGATTATTTGTGAGATTACTTGTGAGATTATTTGTGAGATTATTTGTGAGATTACTTGTGAGATTACTTGTGAGATTACTTGTGAGATTATTTGTGAGATTACTTGTGAGATTACTTGTGAGATTACTTGTGAGATTACTTGTGAGATTACTAGTGAGATTACTTGTGAGATTACTTGTGAGATTACTTGTGAGATAACTTGTGAGATTACTTGTGAGATTACTTGTGAGATTATTTGTGAGATTACTAGTGAGATTACTAGTGAGATTACTTGTGAGATTACTTGTGAGATTACTTGTGAGATAACTTGTGAGATTACTTGTGAGATTACTTGTGAGATTATTTGTGAGATTACTTGTGAGATTACTTGTGAGATTACTTGTGAGATTACTTGTGAGATTATTTGTGAGATTACTTGTGAGATTACTTGTGAAATTACTTGTGAGATTACATGTGAGTTTACTAGTGAGATTACTTGTGAGATTACTTGTGAGATTATTTGTGAGATTACTTGTGAGATTACATGTGAGTTTACTAGTGAGATTACTTGTGAGATTATTTGTGAGATTACTTGTGAGATTACTTGTGAGATTATTTGTGAGATTATTTGTGAGATTACTTGTGAGATTACTAGTGAGATAACTAGTGAGATAACTTGTGAGATTACTAGTGAGATTACTTGTGAGATTACTTGTGAGATAACTTGTAAGTTTACTTGTGAAATTACTTGTGAGATTACTAGTGAGATTACTTGTGAGATTACTTGTGTTTACTTGTGAGATTACTAGTGAGATTACTTGTGAGATAACTTGTGAGATTACTTGTGAGATTATTTGTGAGATTACTAGTGAGATTACTTGTGAGATTACTTGTGAGATTACTAGTGAGATTATTTGTGAGATTACATGTGAGTTTACTAGTGAGATTACTTGTGAGATTACTTGTGAGATTACTAACTCCAAAACAGTTTGTGAATATGTGGCTAGAGGTACTTTGCTCATGAAATTACTTTCCAATTTTGAGTCTATTATTTGAGTTGGTGTACTTTTCTTGTGTATGTTTACCTGAATATAATCATATATAAAACAAACATACACATAGACAGGAGGGCTGGTTTTGTTAATTTGAATTAACAATTGATCAGGTGAGATGGCATGTTAATAAGGTTGTGCCTTGAAGAAAGAGTACAGGGGCAGTTTTGTGTAGTATTTCAGGTTTGGGGGGAGGAAGGGGGGGGGGGGGGGGGGGGTAATCTGTTTCTCTCTTTTCTAGGAAAAAATCATGAACATAGTAATGAATAATGGTGAATAATATATATAATCACTTATTCCAATATATATATATATATATAAAATTCATTATGATATTGGAATAAGTGATTATATATATTATTCACCATTATTCATTACTATATTCATGATATATATATATATATTGAGAACATAGAAATGTGTCTTCGCTTCACGCTAGTGATTTACAGTGCAACAGCTAAACCACAGCTAATAAAACTTTGAGTGGGTAAGGCAGTTACTGTAACTTAAATCTATCTCAGTAAACAGTTTATTGTAACCACCCATCCCCCAGTTCACATACTACTTTCTCCTTCATCGAAGTAGTTGGAAAAATTACCCTAGTGAAAAGCAATGAAAAGAGGAAAAATACACCATAATTACGAAATGAGCACATTTGCTAATTGCTGTAAACAACCCTGCACGTGTTGCTACAATAGAAAGTGAATTGAAAGGAAAATCGCTTTAACAAAATGTAATTATATTGGATCATTGTGCTGGTAATTTAACATTAAAAATGTGTTTACTGAAGTGCTTTTGGGTAAACAATGTTCTTTGTTCTTCCGTCTGGCGCGTACACAAATAAATTAGAAGGTTTTCCGACGCATGAACAGGCCACATATAGCTGTCCATGTAAAAAGCATGGATGTTCCAAACGTAGTCCACACACTTGTAGGGATTGTCCCTGTGATTTGTTTATGGTCATTGCAAAAGCGAGTCGCACCGGAAACTGCAAGCGTCTGAAGTCAAATGGCATGTCTGTTGGAATCATTGGGATGAGTGGCAAAAGGATATTCTCGCCCTTAAATTTCCCATTTAAAATTGAACCTTTGATGATATTGAGCATCAGCCTTTTCACTGAAAGCCTGGTACCATTGCAAAGACGTGGCGGATTGATGTTTCTGAGAAGAATGATGGGCACGCCAATTTTCAGGGTTAAAATGTGGGGTGGCAGGCCTGGCAAATCAAGTGAATTTAAGAACTCAGTTGGATAATTAACAATTTCGTCCTGATTCATTACAGTATCGATAGACTTATACGTTGTCACACCGCCTGGTAATTTGTCTTAGATGTTCGGATTCATGGCAACTCACGATCGAAAAGGTTGTTTGCAGATTGTTCTGGTGGAGCCAGTCCCACCTGAACCAGTGCTTTGTTAGTTATTGTCAAACATATGTCCTCAATGCAAACAAATGCCTCATTATATACATTTGGTATGAATTGAAGGTCCTGATCATGCTTCGTTTCACTCCAGGATGTCTTCACTCATGTAGTCTTTGTATTTTTTCCAAAGCTCTTTTGGAATGAATGGGAAGCAAGTTGTTAATATTATTGCAAATAATGTGCGTATTTGCTGTGGTCGAGCAGCATTCAAAGCATCAGCGAGTGAAGTGTCCCAATGTGCATCTTTTTCAAGAAGATTTAATTCTTGGCAACCTTCACGGTAAGTAGCGCATACTTTACCATAAACTGTTCTCAAGTCCTGGAAGGATGCCGGTCCCCGTTTGTTGATTAAAAGTAATCGCAAGTAAAAGCAATCTGCATTTTTGCGATGAACAGTGTACAGACGGCCTTAAATATCAGTAGAATATAAATTAAGATGTCCGTCAACCGCTTGACCTTGCTTGCAACGTTGAAACTTTTTAGCTGATGCATACCATGTGCAGTATATTGGTAGGTGAGAGTAAAGCAGTGTCTTTGCAAACATATCTCTACACATTGAGAAAAATCAGTTAACGTGGTTCGCGGTGGTAACAATGCTCGAGCATGTGCATTCTCTGTAGTGAAGTACACGCGCTGTCCATTGTCAAGGTGCACTGCCAAATGAACAACTGCTGGATGTCATTCATGAATTGGAAATGAGAAAATATATAAAATTCATTATGATATTGGAATAAGTGATTATATTATATATTATTCACCATTATTCATTAATATATATATATATATATATATATATATATATATATATATATATATATATATATATATATATATATATTATCACAAGTGAGTATGTAATTCATTATGATACTGTGACTAGTGAATATATATATATATATATATATATATATATATATATATATATATATATATATATATATATATATATATATATTCACTAGTCACAGTATCATAATGAATTACATACTCACTTGTGATAATATATATAGTAATGAATTTTATATATATATATATATATATATATATATATATCACTTGATGCATCACAAGCTGGATGCGTGGTTAAGGCCCTTTGATAGCAAGCTAACAGCGCAGAAGCTAAAAGATATCATTACGGTGTGGAGAGAATGGTACAGTTAGGAGTGATCAGGGAAAGCTGGTTAACACTCAGGGGAAAGGCTGGACAGGCATATACACTTTTTCCTTGACTTTCGACCTATGCAACTTACAACCACAAAAAGTAAATAAATAAATAAAAATAGTAATTTCAAGTTGTATTTTTGTTTACAGTACCTTGAGTAAATTATGTAGTATTATGTTTCACATTATGTACAATAATTGTTCATACAAAGAATGAATATTTTCTGTTTTATGTAGAATTGTTATAACCCGTTTGAAAGAGGATAGTGTTGAAAAGTATAAATTTGACTTAGGACCAGTTCAACTTACAACCTGTTTGTTGGTCAGAACGGAACTTGGTTGTGTAAGTTGAGGAGACCCTGTAGTCACTCACTTACCATTGGAATTGGAATTTTTTTACTGGATGCTGAAGATGAGTACGGAGCATCTGTGGGAATGTCCTGAGTGCTATGATGTCAGTTTTTGATGCAGATCAGCTCAGTTGTATACACATAGTTGGCTACCTCCAGATGTTACTCTCCAGTAGCTAGAGAACAAGATGCATACACATGTCGTAATCCTAACAGACTCTGAAAGCATGCTGAGAAAGGTTAAAAACAGGGATGCTTTGAGCAGAATGGCAAGCTTCACTGGGAAAGTCACCGGTAGTCAGCATACTTTGGATCACCAAGCCGGCATGGTGGGTATTGGACAGGTGGACAGATTGGCTGGATTTGCACCACTGGGTGGTGAATTGATGCATGACAAAGCAGATGTTGTCGAGGCCCTTTTGGAACAAGCAATGGAATCAGTAGAGAAAGAAGATTATTATGGCCTGGAGAGAATGAGGCACCGGGGTGTAACCAAAGGGTCTGGCCGGCTCACTACACTCAGAGAAAAAGCAAGACGGACATATTATCAGATTGTGACCGGTACCATCAGTATTGGAACTGTTCGCTGGCTGCTGGAAATGAAGACGGAACATGCAAGGGAATGTCCCAAGTGCTGTGATCTCAACTGAAATCAACTCTAGATGTTAGTTAGTATTGTCCATGACAGAGCAAAACTTTAGTTGCAGTAGGGCCACCACAGTTCTGAGTGGTAAGGTAAGGAATAAAGCTACGACTTTAAGAATGCTGTATTTTTTTTTTTTTAAATGAGCATGTTTGATCATTAAATTGTCAAGTAGCGGATAGAAAAAAATTGAATTATTGTTCATGTGTGTTTTGTTTGTCTCCCTTTATATGCTATCTCCACAATGGCTACAATGGATAGGTGCATCCGTTTGGGTAAGTTGTTGACATTTGGCATGCAACCTGTTAATAATAATCGTGTCTTTGTAAGGCATTTCTTGATTCAATGAAAACAAACATAGTTTCACTTTGCGGTATATGGGGAAAAATAAGACACTGATTCAGAGCAAACAGTCATCATGCTTACGGTTAACTGATAACGAGAACGTTTGAGGTTTGAACAACGGATAAACATCATGGCACACGGGTAGTAACAAAAGTGTTGCGTTCTTCCTCTAACTTAAGTCTGAGTCCGAAGAAGCTCAGCACAGTGCACACACTCTAACACCGGCGAGGATCCTGAAATACTTTGGGTCAATTTTTAACTCCAAATTTTGTACAGTCACGATCCCTGGTTGCCTGGAACAGCTCTCTTGATGACATTCCTCCATGCCATCGTTTTTTGCCCATCCAGCATCATCTCTCTTGGTCTGCGTCTGCCCCTTTTTCCACTGATCTTTCCAGTTGTCACGATGTTCTTCAATGTCTCTCTTCTCATTGTGTGGCCAAAGAACAGTGT